CGGAATGGAATATTGCGATATGTTCAGCTCACGAGAAGCGATCAAGTCGCTTCATTACTTTTCGAACCATTTCTACTTATGTTGCTGTTTTCTTCCGTCCACTTCCTTGGCATTGGGCTACGCTACCAGTATCACGGTAACGAGCATTGGTACGAGACACAAAAGATTTATTCACATTTAAATGCTGGAGTGCTCTAACGATAGCCACTTGTGGTTTTCCACCCAAATATAAAGAAATCACACTAACAAGCTTGAATTCCATCACGAATAACTTTTTTCTGGAGAATTCTTACCAAAATGCTTTTGTACGCTTGTAAGCGATATAATGAGCTGTCACTGGATTAATTTTAACAGATGTTGGACGAGTGGCTTAGAAATGACAGCAGTCTGAAGTTGGTTGCGGTTTTTCCATCTCACCCTGTATCATGCACTATATAGCAATGTTGTGATCTAATCCCATAAATTCCCAATATAAAGGTTTTTGTTAAGTAAGCTCTACTAAATACGCATATGTAGGGTAACATATAGTCGGCCCCGCCTGACTTTTGATCTTTCCTTACTGGTTAATTAACATCAAATTTCACAAAAATTCCATTGATCAAAAATCGACAAGCACCCGTTACAAACTTCTACCACAACATTTCTTAAAATTCTATTGAAATAGAAGACCACGTTGAAAATGATGCCATGAAGGATTGTGGTTACTTGGATTCTACTCTCCTTTTAAGAAATAAAGCACGAGCATAAATCATCTATTTTATAGCATATCATTAAATGTCACACACCATTATCTAGGACAGATTAAGGTTATAGCAATTGTCACAAAAATTTAAATATTCATATATATATATATATATATATATATATTGGTGAAAATATAAAAGAAAGGTTATTAAACTTTATGATTCGTAAAATATCATAATAAAAATATACTGGCATAAACAACCAAAATGTCACATCATAAAAGGATGGCGCAACATGAGTCTCTTATGCCTCCATCATGGAGTAGAGGCCATGACTAATTTGTTTGCTAACACTTGAGAGTAAAAAAAAAAATTAAAAAAAAAACATTTTCACATACAACCAACGGGGGTCATAAACCAAACAAATCATTTCGGTTGTCCATCCAACCGAACAGTTGGTCAGACCGCAGTAAAAACGGGACAACATAAAAAGGACTCTGTGTGTATTCGTATTTTGAAAATTTGTGAACCACAATTTATTCAGTTCATCAATGGTTGGTTAAATGCTGAGATTTTTTGCGGTTTATGTCATTGTTCTTCTTTTTGTTTTTTTCAATACGTTGTGATAACTTATTTGAGCATCCAAAAAAGAATGTTTTATTCTACAAATAGAGAAAATGTGTCATGAAATAAATAAAATATTTATAAATAAAATATTTTAAACACATACAAAAAAGTATTCCCGCCATCAACAGACACTCACTTCATATACCAGTTGTCTCTGGCGCAAAATAATGTCGATAGAAACATGTATAAATAAAATATATGGGTTAATGGTGACTGGCTATAACGGCTGAAGTCAGAATTTTGAACTGTTGCATGTGGGCCAGTATTGGTGGGTAGGCTTGTAATATTCCTGCATTCCTGGACATTAGTTCTATCGCTTCATGACATGGCTTGAAACTATCTAATATACAGGTTGAGATGACCAACCAACTTCAGACTGCTTTCACTTCTAAGCCACTCGTCCAACTGCCTTTAAAATTATTCAAGTGACAGTTCGTTATATTGTTTACAAGCGAACAAAAGCATTTTGGTGGGAATTTTCCAGAAAAAAATTTATTCACCCTGTACATATAGGTCACTCATGAAATTCCATCAAAAACGTGCATATGTACTTTGAATGTTTGTATTTTAAAATGTTGCTACGCAAAATTAATCGTTTAAAAAACAATTGTATATAAATTATTTGTGATTTATGGATAGAATGTATTTGAAAGCAACGTAGACAAATAATAGAATCCAAATAATGGAACTTGGAAATGGCAGTGGCCATATAATTCCAGTTTGCGTCTACCTATAAATGCAAACCAGATAAGAAAATCTAAGTTTAAATACAATTGATTAATTTATTATTTCATTGTTTTATTGTTTTATTCAGCACATTTGATATGTCCTTGTAAAAAACACGGACATCATAAATAATCGAGCCTACGTATTTTATAGAAATGGTATCATTTATTATTTCTTTTTTATATGGAAACTTAGAAATATGCAAATATATATAATTTATGTATAACAAGTACGCAAAGGCTATAGTCGTTCCGGGCCGACCATGTGATACCCTACTACACTACAATATGTTAGAAGGCCCTTTATGTCCCAACCCATTTTGGAAGATTTCGCTTTTGAAATTATGTCACGGAGCACTGACCAGATATTACCCTTAGCATTTTGAACAGGGACATTTGCCCAATATTTACACACTCCGTCGTGCTGTTAGTTGTTGTGGTCCATTTTATAGCTAAATATAATCCAGTGGTCATCCAAACTGCTTCGATTCTTCCCTGTCCTTAACTCTCTTCTTAAGCGTGTCGATTGGCTTCCATTGTGTGATCAGGAATACTTTTCTGGTTTTGGTTCATTTAAACACCCAAATATATTGCGGACATCTTTGAAAACAATAGGCCCAACCCTTCTGAGCCTAACCCTACCCTAGTGAAAATTTTATGAGGATTGGACGATAATTGCAATCCGTAAATAATATCCCCAACCAGTGTTGTAAGGTGAAAAATCAAAATAATATTACAAAACAAACACTTCAATATTATAAGTCAAATTAAAAAAAATCGCATGCGATAAAAATATGAAAAATAAAAAAATGTCACAAAATACTACAAAATCTGTCCAGCCATTCTTGAGATATAAGCATTCTCTCCTTTGTATACATACATTGTATATATTTCGTTATATATATCCGATATAATTACTATCTGCATCTACGTAACGGTCGGGATTGACCCGTTCGTCTTTTTGTAATTTCGCCGGGACTAAAAATATTCGCGGTTTAATGGAAAATTTGACTTTCATTTAACACAAATGTTATGGTATATTTCACCCACTAAATATTACCCGATGACCACCAAAATTTGAAGACTTCTGCCCAGCCATAAGCTCTAGCCACATACTAACTCCCGCTTCGATTGGTCCATAATTGCGACCAGTAGAGCAACTGCAAAATCAGGAAAGCAATAGGGTTCTATTCTGATTCTAGCCCCACCTCCATTCTAAATTTCGTGAAGATCGGGCCGTAATTGCGACCTGTAGAGTGATTACAAATTAACTTGGACTCGACTTAGCTCGGCGATATAGGAAGATCCATATATACTTTCCTATATGGGAAAGCAATATTTCGAGGTGTTACATAATTTCTGGCCCAATCAAACGTATAATACCCCCAACACATAGTGTTGTAGGGTATAACAAATAGTAATAAAAAGTATATATTTTTTTCGAAAAAAATTGCTAAAAAATATTTAAATAATTTATAACCAATTTAAAATATAAGTAATCGAGCCTACGTATTTTATAGAAATGGCCTCATTTATTGTTTATATTCTTATCGAAAAAATTTGCTAAAAAATTATTTAAATGATTAATAACCAATTTAAAATATTCACTTCCTATATATTTGATATATTAGAATCAGAGATGAGCATAATGCACTGTATTTTTAGTGCACTAATAATTTCACCAACACATATATAAACAATTCTCTTTCAGAGAGTAAAGTACTCGAAGAACTCCCTGTGTGGATTTTCAGACAATTCCGTTGGAAAATGTGGCTAAAATCGTCAAAATGCCGAATGTCGGTATCGTGTCCATCTTCGAACTTGACCTGCCTGCAGTCAAAAGACTGATCTGTGCAAAAAATTAGCTTCCTAACTTTATTCGTGTTGACTTTAGCGTGATTTCAACAGAAGGACAGGGCTGAATCGCCTTAGAATTTTACGCTGATCAAAAATATATATACTTTGTTATGTCTAAAATAATTATTTCGATGAGTTACAAACGGAATGACAAACTTAATATACCCTCCATGCTATGTATGGTGGAGGGTATAAAAATCTCAAACCACGGCCAAAGGCCGGCTACTTATAAAAATTATGAACTTTAGGTGCAGGACATAACCAGAGGAGAAAATATACATTTTTTCGCACACCCACATACGTACTCAATATTAAAGAGATTATGTCCGCAACTTTCTGGAGATTGTGACATAACCCCTATAATGGAATGGGGATTATATCCAAGAAAAAAAAAAAACGGTCATAAAAACAATAGAGTGGCAGATATAACCCCCATAATTTAATTTAATTATTATTAATTATTTTTGTAAGTAGTCCCCACAGCAAATGGTCATATTCCCCACTTTATTATGGGAACTATGATCTTTTTTCGGTGTGGGGATTATGTCCGGGATTTTCTATTTTAAATAAAAGTGTAAATGGGGGTGGCCAACCTAATCCGCAAAGGTCAGGCGATGCCACAAACCTCGAAATATTGGTAAGGGTCAGAATAAAAACGTGAAATGGACCAGCAAGAGATTTGTCTGATTTTGTAGTCTCTCATGTCATAATTATATACCAATTGGCATCTAACTTTGCTTGAGTTTAGAGTTGAAAACAGCGAAGAAGCGCACTTTTTGGGGTTGACACAGCACAGCTGATGAAATGGACCATACCTTTGGTGTGAAATATCCATTTTTCAAACACAATATTTTATCTTGTTTAAATTTTGTGAATATTTTTTGATTGTCTATTTTGGCATTTCGATTTATTTGTGTTGGAGTTAATTGAACCAAAATTTGCATATAGAAAAAAGCTCTTTTTGTTTACTTACTTACGAAAACCAAAAATTCTATATTTCTGTCATTTGCCTTGCAATTGGAAGAAAAATAAATTTGCTGAACAGACTATATATATTTTCGTTTCACACATGTATAAAACCCAGTTTCGTTTTTATTATTTGTTTCAGCTTTCAATAACCAACTTGGAGACTTATCCCTCAAAACTAATCAAGAAAGTTTTACCAAGAGTCAATTGTAATCGTACATACCTGCGGGATGCATACAAATTCATACAGAAGGAAGAGGTAAGATAACCATTTTAAGTAATATTCAAAGACAAACAGTCAGTTTTAACTCTCAAATATGGGTAAAATGTTTCAAAAAAACGTCAACTAAAGGAAAAACTCTCAACTGTGCACTGTTTTTAATTAGCTTTTAAATATTTGGGTCCATAAATGTTTGAAAATCACCACTACATATATTACCAGAGGAAAAATTCTTTTATTCCGTATAAGTTTTAATGTATAAATTTTAATTTAATGTATGGGTTTCTTTGTTGTAGTGCTGGTAGATGTAATGTAAAAATGTATTCAATCATATATATCTTGTTTCAATTTCAGAAATTATGGCCAAAAATATTTCCGGAAATTATGTTAATGGATTATCTATTTAGCGGCGAAAGGCAAATACCAACAGATTTTGCTGTCTTGATTATATCATCTCTTATAGATTTGCAGGAAGATTTTAGGTATTTTGTAAAACGTGCATTTCTGCGATATTTGTTAAGGTAAGTAGAAAACTAAGTGTAAAAGTAAATTCGTTATTATTATTATTATTATTATTATTATTATTATTATTATTATTATTATTATTATTATTATTATTATTATTATTATTATTATTATTATTATTATTATTATTATTATTATTATTATTATTATTATTATTATTATTATTATTATTATTATTATTATTATTATTATTATTATTCTTATTATTATTATTAATATTATTATTATTATTATTATTATTATTATTATTACTATTATTATTATTATTATTATTATTAATATTATTATTATTATTATTATTATTAATATTATTAAAAAACGGAGCTAAGTTCAGCCGTGTCGAACTTTTAATATTCTCCACCATTTTGAAGGAACTTGAACAATTTCTAAAAAAATCCGTCGAAAAATACTGCTCAAAGGCCGTTATATGGGCCCTATAAGAAGACGTGGGCCTGCATATAAAGTTTTTTGTCATAGGCTGCAGCACCCATTCAAACTTTAAATACGACAAGGATATTATGTCTTTTTGTATTTGTTTGTAACATGGAGAAGGAAGAGAGATATGTCCATAGTTAATTTTGAGGATCTTCAGGTAAGGTAACATTTTCCAGGCGAGGTAACATTTTCCAAACAATATTTGTTTGGCCCAAGGACGAACCCAATTGAATTTGGTGAGGATCAGTTCAAAATTAGATATAGCCCCCATATTTCAACCGATTTCGGGTTAATTGTGCACCAAATGGACAATATCAGTCCAAATGACCTAAATTTTTGTACATCCGAACGAATTCAGTATAGAAGCCTGTATAATAAATCTGAATCGGTTCAGATATACCTATAGCTCTCATGTATATGCTTCATCCTATTTGGTGTTTAAGTCCCTCACATTTTTAATATGCACTCCGCTAGAATTATATATTTGTACCAGATATCAGATGCAGCCCTCTATATCTCCATACAACCTATTCCCAATATTCGGTATTTTGATGATTTTATCCACATTATTTACCGGGACGGTTTCAAATTTCGTATTTTAAGATCTTACTTCCTACGACATAAAAATTGCAAATGCAGGCCCTTGTCTTTATATAGAACGGTACCTCCAAAAGTTAGGAATTTTGATGATTTTAAAGACATTATAGACCGGAATTGTTTCAAATTATTTCATAGAACAGTCAATGACAGAAAATTGTCTATACAGGTTCACTCATTAATATAGCCCCACATAATGATACCTCCCTTAATTCGGTGTTTTGGTGATTTTATCGACATTTTTACCGGGATCGTTCCAAATTTCATATTTAAAGTTCGTAATAGGCACTACAACCTATGACGTAAAATTGTCTATATTGGTCCACGTCTTCATATAGCCCACATATAAGGCACCTCCCTTCATTCGGTAGTCTGATGATATAAGCAATATTATTCACCCGAACTGTTTCAAATTTCGTATTTAAACTTAGTAATGAAAACTGCAGCCTATGATATCAAAAATTACTTATGAAGGTTTTCCTTTGAGTCGTATTTGTCGACGGATTTTTGGAAATATTTCAAGTTTCTTGAAAATGGTGGAGGCTGTTAAAATTTAAGCCCGGCCGAACTTATCTGCTTTTTAACTTGATAATACTTTTATTATCTATTTAGTTTAAATTTCCTAAAATATGCCCTTAGTCCACACCGTAACTATAAATGATGCTCGTATTTAAATTTCATATATCTAGCTTGACTTCTTTGCAAAACTATTTTAGTTGTTGACTCCATTAGAAAAAAAAACCTTCAACATGTCTTCCACCTATGAATTGTATTAAGAAGAAGATGTCTTCTTGTATAGAAATGATAATTTGATCATTTTATTTGCTTTATAACATTAAATACTCCAGTTCCAAATAAATTTCACTTTAAATTAGTTATCATAATGAACTGCGTTTTTCATTTTGTTTAAACTTCTTTAAAGCTCTCCTCTAGAACGTAAACGATTGCAATTGGTGGCTGAGCCGCCAGAGTTTCCCATAATGACTATCCGGGCTCCCGTGCCATGGAAGGTTTATGTGCAATTAGCACGAAATCATTTGGATCAAGTGCTAATGACTACACATCCCGTTATTAGAGCTCTCAACTTGCTTTGGCATCAACTGTAAGTAGTATTTTCTTCTGCTATATTTTTATTTTTTACCTTTTTCTTATTACTTCTGGCAAAATGTTTTGCCAAGTTGTGGTGACATTTACACATGTAGTCTCTGGCCAACTAAAAGTTAATATTGTTATTTATGTCTTCTCTTTCTCTGCGTCACGCAACGGACCTTGCCTTTATTCTGTTCCTTCGTGTACGAATCACTACTTGACCGGTATATCCGGTACCTTGTAACCTGCATCCCGTGTCGGTGTGGATGTGTGCGTGTGTTGAACGAAACAAAAAAGATACCATGATTTAGTCATTGTCGACGTATCTCAGATAGTTTTACGTGATGTGCCCATGAATGCCGATGAGTTAATAAAATTTGTCCAAGAAAGTTGCGATACCATTCGTGAGGTAAGTGACAGGTAGTAGCTCTATAATTGTACGACATTTACAGGATACAAGTGGACAAATTACATGACTCTGGTCGTTGGTCTAACTCATTGATGATGATGATGACGGTTTTTTGTTTGAGACTATAATCTAATGTTTGAAATGACTTTAGCCATTTCCTTGATACCCATTTATGTTGTGATCTTCTTTTGTCTGTAGCTACTTCTTAACGACTGGATACCACGCTGTGCAGATATATTGGATGTAATGCGTAAAACATGGAAAGACTTAATTCCAATGCGTGGCAGCCATGGTGGCCGTGCTGCTGTCTTATTTCGATGTGTTCACGCCCTAATGTCTCTTCAGTTGGAGGGTTTAATAACCAGAAGTTTAACGTATTTATATAAAACTTTATGCGATTATATGGTAAGTTTTATCAGCTTGATTACTGCTGGTGCTATCAACTTTGGACGAAACTTTTCATCGCTTGATTGTCTTGTTCATTAACTAGGCTGGTAATGATATTGAAAAGTACAATATGTACGACGCTAAACTTAAGCGTAGACCGTTGATGACGTTGATTGTTTCTGTAATTGGCGTTCACTTCGACAATCCGGAAAGAGTTGACTTCCCACCGAAAAGTAAGACGCCACAAATATATGAAGAACAAGAGGATGACGATGCTAATCCGTTTCAAAGTAAAGCCGGTGGTCAATTTATTGAACAGGTAATAATGACAAAACATAATTAAAAAACATTAGGTTTGCAGGAGTGGGGAATGAGAAAATGGAAGAGAAAAGTTTAATTTGAAATTATTCTTGTAAATAATGTCGCTACAATCATGAAAATAACGAATATAGGGAGGTACCGGTATATGGGGCTATACGAAAATCATGGACTGATATGGTCCATTTACGAACTTAACCTGCCTACTAGCAAAACATGTATGCAACCTTATATCTCAATTCGTTCGAAAGATAACGTGATCAAAACAGACCGGCAGGCATACAGACGGACATCCCTAAATCGACTTAGAATTTTACGCAGATCAAGAATAAATATACTTGTTAGGTCTAACTGGAGTATTTCGAGGAGACAATGTTAATATACCCTCCATAGCATGGTTGAGGGTATAAAAGGCAGATCCAATATATCTATTAATTTCGTTTTCTTTTACTTTCTTGCACAGGGTCAAGTATATCTCAATGATACATCAAAAATAGTTTTATTTACTTTCTCTGCATTTACAGCCGACACCTGATGAAGATTGTGTAGCCTGTTTTCTTCTGAATAATTGGGGAAAATTACATGCATTTCCTTACATCGGGACTTTGCCAAATATATTTATTGATATTTTCAAACGTATACTAAAAGTGGGCTATAAACTACCTCGTCTGGAGTATGTGATGTCAAGAGGTAATTTTGCAATTTCCATGTAACTCTGATCTACATAGATATAATTGATTGTCATATGTTTCCATAAAAGATCCCGACACATTTGGTTATTTGCATTGTATCCATGAAACACATCCAGACATGCTAAATTTATACGAAAAAATCACCACCATCGTGAAAAATAATTGGAGAGGACCAATTGTTTACCTGCTGCCCATCTACAAATATTATTACGTGTTATTGGCAAATAAAATTCAACCGATTGTTGAGAAAATCTTTACCCAAAATATTCTTCCGGACCTGGTGGTAAGTAAGACATAATATATATATTTTTTTTAAATTGGAAAATCTATATATACTATACATATTCGACGTGGGCGGCATAAATTACATTTATTCGTGATCAACTATTTCTACTATTTCCTTTTTTTTTGTGATCGCCAATGCTGAAATCGTCACAATATTTTTTGCATTAAATTCCATATACTTTCCTAACTAATACTCTTCGCCTCCCCCAAAATAATAAATGCAACCAAATAAATTGTAAATTAAATTCCTGTTTAACTTAGACGTCTACGCTGTTAATTGCAATTTACGAATTTTCGTTGTCATTTGATTTTTAGCTGTTGAATTTTCATAATTAAATTTTATATTAATTCCACGCGTCATTGAACATAATTAATTTTAAATAAAGTAATTAAACTTATTTTGTATGTAATTTGCCAGTAAAATTCACAACATAGGGCAAACCATTAAACGATACTTGTCACGGCAATCTGCGTGTGGCAATTACCCGGTGCTTAAATTGACTACTCACGGTGGCGATGACAAGGAAAAGAATTGCATTTGAACTTAAATATGCATGTTTGAGGGTTTTTTAAATTAACAACAACAATTTAGAGGCAGCGGGTTTTTTTTATAGAAAAAACGCATGTGGTTCTATATCTCAGCTCTCCAAAATTAATTTTAACATACCTAATTTTAACTTGAATTACTACAGTAGGTGGGTTTTCATTATTACTATCCACTTATTTTTCCATTTTATATTCTTATGATCTATGACTTAAAAAAATACTTGTAGATATTGTACAGTACAGATCCTCTGGTTTAAACACCCCCCATTTCTCACGATTTTAAGTATTTTGAAGATTTTAGACAAATTTGCTATTTTAAACGCGTTAGAGGTATATCATCAGATTCGGAATTAGAATCGTTTTAACTCCAATATTCAGACTGTGTGCTGAAGATTTAGGCGTATCGAAGGCCAAGCAACAATTTTGTACTAAATGAAGTTGTTTTGGGAATGTTGGCAGTTGGCAGACTATTCTCAAATATATTACTTTTTAAATTATTTGGTTCAATTTAAATTTTTCAGAGTAGATACTTTTTCAACTAGAATCCGGCTTAAGTGAAATTATTGAACGAAGTCAACTATGAGATCTAGTTTATTATTACTCTGTGGTTAAAGCTGTCATTATTATCCATCCATTACCCCTTAAACCCCAATAAATATCTAACATTTAAATATCTCGTAAAGAGCTATAAGATATTATATAGGACAAAAAGGATTTATTAAACAGCGCAACACACAAATAATTTCAGATATATTATATTATGAAAGTGGAGCTAACATGTAAAAAGCAGTTAAGTTCGACCGAAACTAAATTTCTATACCCTCCCCCATTTGGAATGTAACTCATATGAAAATATGTCTGCAAATGCTGTTATTAGGAACATCAAACCCAGTTTCAAACAATTCTGTAAAAAAGTTTCCTACAATCATCTATAAAAAAGTTTTATATAAGCAGAAGAACTAAATAAGGAACTCAAATGCTGAGTTTTTATTAATTCTGTTAAAAAATGTGGCTAAAATCTATATCTATAAATGAGGAAAATGTTTGTATGTTTGTTTGTTTTTTATTTTATGGACTCGAAAACCGCTGAATAGATTTTCCTGAAAATTTCCATATATACTGCAACATCGCCTGAAAGTAACATAGGCTATATACATTTTTTGAATTTCCACTTGGAACTGGAGATATAGCATCAGAATCGGAGGTATCTCCCAAAAATTTTGATTTTATATGCACATATCTATTGATTGGTTGAAGATACAGTCTCCAAATTTGGAATACGTAACGGAATTTGGAACAAAAATAAGTTTGCCAAATTATATTGTAATCGGTTAAGATTTGGATATAGCTCCCATATATATTTTCGACCGATTTCGTTCATTTGATGCCTCAAACACAATATGAATGTTCGATTCCAATTATCTTTGGAATGTGTGACGGGATTTAATCCGAAAATAAATTTGTCAAATTATATTGAAATCGGTTCAGATTTGGATATAGCTCCCATACATATTTTCGGCCGATTTCAAGCATTTGGTGCACCAAACACGCTATGTATGCCCAATTTCAATGAAATTTGAAACGTGTGATAGATTTTATCTAAAGAATTGATTTCCCAATTTATATTGAAATCGGTTCAGATTTCCATATAGCTCCCATATACATTTTCGGCCGATTTCATGTATTTGGTGGACCAAACACGATATGTATTTCCAATTGTAATGAAATTTAAAATAAGTAACGGAATTGGGAGCCAAAATGAATTTGTCAAATTAAATTGAAATCGGTTCAGATTTGGATATAGCTCCCACATATATTTTCGACCGATTTCATGTATTTGATGCACCATACACGATAAGTATGTTCGATTCCAAAGAAATTTGGAATATGTAACGGGATTTTGATTAGAAAATAAATTAATCAAATTATATTAAAATCTGTTCAGATTTGGATATAGCTCTCATATATATTTTCGACTGTTTTCATGTATTGTATTCACAAAACACGATACGTATTTCCGATTCCAATGAAATTCGGCATGAGTGGCTAAATTTGGTACAAAAATAAATTTGACAAATTATATTCAAATACGCTCAGATTTGATTATAGCTCTCATATATATACTCAGCCGATTTCACATATTTAATGCCCCCAAAGCGAGAGAGACGAAATCTGGCACCAGAAAAAAATTGCCAAATTATATTGACATCAGTTTAGGTTTGGGTATAGCTAACATATATATTTCGGGCGATTTCCTACATGTTATGCACCAAACATGATATATATGACCGATACCAATGAAATTCAGAATGCGTGACGGAATTTGGTTACAATAATAAATGTGACAGATTAATTGGAAATTAGTTAAGATTTAGATATAGCTCCCATGTGGCGGAGTTTGGTGTAAAAGTATTTTTTTTTAAATTATATTTAAGTCGGATCAGCGAAGTATGTTGCTATCTCGAATTCACTAATTGCAATAGAAATGCCACTCAACTTCAAAAGATTGCAGTTTACTGCACGCTTGGTATTTGCTATGAAATAAATAAATCCGAAGGACAAACCCTTCGTGTATGTATGTCATGTTACTGCTTTTCTAATGGTTTTGGTTATTTACGCATTAAAGTATTGCAATAATTTTTTTTATACCCTACACCACATAGTGGTAAGGGTATTATGTCTTTGTGCATTTGTTTTTTAACATGGAGAAGGAAACGAGATAGACCCATAGTTACTTTTGAGAACCTTCATAGAATCACTTTCTGAGTCAATTTATGCATGTCAGTCCGTCTGTCCGTCCGTCCGTCCGTCCGTCTGTCCATGTATTCTTGTGAACAAAATGCAGGTCGCATTTATTATCCGATTGAGATGAAATTTTCCAAACAATATGTTTTTGGCCCAAGGACGAACCCTATTGAAATTGGTGAGAATCGGATCAAATTTAGATATAGCTCCCATATATATCTTCATCCGATTTCGGGTTAAATGTGCACCAAATGTCCACTATCAGTCCAAATTATCTGAATTTTGGCACACCCAACCGAGTTCGGCCTAGAAGCAAGTATATCAAATTTGGGGAAAATCGGTTCAGATATAGTTATAGCTCCCATATATATCTTTCATCCGATTTGATCTTTAAGTCCCTCACATTCCTACTATGCACTCCACAACCGTGATATTTGGTACCAGGTATTAGATGGAGCACAGAAATAGCTGTTTTAAAATTTATCAAAATCGGTTCAGATTTGGATATAGCTCCCATATATATCTTCATCCGATTTCGGGTTAATTGACCACCAAATGGCCAATATCAGCCCAAATGGCTCGAATTTTGGCACATGTGACCGAGATTAGCCTTAAAGCAAATACAACAAATTTGGAGAAAATCGGTTCAGAAACAGCTATAGCTCCCATATATATGTTTTATCCGATTTGGTGTTTAAGCCTCTCACATTCGTAATATGCACTCCACAAGAATGATATTTGGTCCCAGATATAAGATATAGCCCAGAAATAGATGTTTGTAATTTTATCGAAATCGGTTCAGATTTGGATATGGCTCCCATATATATCTTCATCCGATTTCAGGTTAAATGTGCACCAAATGGCCAATACAAGTCCAAATGGACTGAATTTTAGTACATCGGACCAAATTCAGCCTAGAAGCAAGTATGTCAAATTTAGTGAAAATCGGTTCAGATATAGATATAGCAACCATATATATGTTTCATCCGATTTGGTCTTTAAGTCCCTCACATTCGTAATATACACTCCACCGGAATGATATTTGGTACCAGATATCAGATAAAGCCCAAAAACAGGTGATTTTAATTTTATTAAAATCTGTTCCGATTTGGATATGCCTCCCATATATATCATCATCCGATTTCGTGTAAATTGTGCATCAAATGGCCAATATCAGCCCAAATGGCATGAATTTTCGTACATAAGACCGAATTCAGTCTAGAAGCTAATACGTCAAATTTGGAGAAACCCGGTTCAGAGATAGCTATAGTTCGTAAAATGCACGATAGAATTAGATAGATTTTGATTTTGTACCAAATACCTCATAGAGCTCTGAAATGCCCTGTATAAACCTTTTTACGAGAGCTCTACTAAATATGCATAGTGGTGTAGGGTATCATATAGTCGGCCCCGCCCGACTTTTGAGCTTTCCTTACTGGTTTAATTTTTAAATTTGTTTTTTTTTTAACCAACATATATTCGTAAATAAAATTTTGAATGCATATAAAATCAAAAGGGGTAGCGAAGCGCACCGGGTTCAGCTAGTAGTCTATATACTGAATTCGGAAAGTACCTTTATATGGGGGCTATAGGAAAACGTGGAACTCTTCAAGCTTTTACAATACCAAATATCAAATTTAAAGTAATTACCGATCATTAGGAAGTTTCGCTATATTGGAGTTATACCGAAACGTGAACGTTACGAATAACTAAACAATAAATTTGAAACACTTCCGTTTTGAAATATGGCTCAAATTCAATATTGACTGAATATTTCTTGGTAACCTTTTATGAGGGTGGAATTATATAGAAAATGTTCTGCTACAGAAGGTGGAATATCATATAAACTCAAAATACTGAATTTCAAGCTATTCCGAAAACTGTGGCTAAATATACCGAATATAGTCGGCTACCTCTATATGGGTGCTATAGGAAAACGTGAGCCTATATAGACCATATTCCGTCGCAGTACGTACAACTCATTATAACATCCAAATACCGAATTTTAACTGTTCCTTTAGAAATTATCAAGATACCGAATATGGGACAATGTTCCGCCATACTAATTAGAACCCATTATAAACTCCAAATATCGAATACTTGAAAATGTGATATAAATATCTAAAAATACAATTATCTGGAGGCTATACGAAGACGTCGAACTTGATCTGACCAATTCATTGGAATCTGGTATACATAGCGTGCTTGGTGCATCAAATTTATAAAATCGGGCGAAAAAATATATTGGAGCTTTGTCTAAATCTGTACCGATTTCAATGTAACTTGACAAATTTACGAAATTCCGTCATTCACTTCAAATTTCAAACACATATCGTGTTTATTGCATGAAATACACAAAATCGGAAGAAAATATATATGGGAGTTATACCCAAACCTCAACCGATTTTAATAAATTTGGCAAATTTTTTTCGGTACCAAATTTCGTCTCTCAGTGCGAAATTTATAGGAATCGAATATACATATCGAGTTTGGTGCAACAAATAAAAGAAATCGATCGAAAATATATATGGGAGCTATATCCAAATCTGAATCGATTTCAATATAGTTTGGCAAATTTATTTTTGAACCAAATTTAGTCACTCATGCCGAATTTCATTGGAATCGTGTTTGGTGCATGTGTGAAATCGACCGCAAAATTATTTTCTGATCAAATCCCGTCACTCATACCAAATTTCATTGGAATTGAACACGCGTATCGTTTTTGGTGCATCAAATAAACGAAATCTGTCGAAACATATGATTCTGTGCTATATCTTTAGTTCCAAATGGAATTTTTGTAGCCTTTATTACTTTCAGGCGATGCTGTAGTATATGTTGGAATTTTCAGGAAAATCTGTTCAGCAGTTTTTGAGTCGATAAATTACAAAACAAAGAAACATACAAATATTTCCCTCTTTTATAGATATAGATGGGAGCTATATCCTGATCTGATCCCGATAAAATTTAACAGAGGTATTTTTGAGCTCCAAAAGTTATCTGGTACCAAATATCATTCTTGTCCAGTTACGCCAATCAAAGATTTTTTAAATAATTTGACTTTATAGGAGATGGGGGCCGGCATAGTCTACTTGTTTCGTAGGACGGCGTAGAAGTCGTTTAGAATGGGTGTTGATTTTGTATATTAAAATGTATTAACATAGCTAGTTCAATTCAGTTTACTCTAAGTTATAGATCATTAAATTGTAGTGATATTTAAAAAATGTCTCATATTTCATGAGACTTAATTCAAATGTTGTAACATTCATTACAATTTATATTTCTTTTATAGATTACTGAATAATAATTTCTCTTCTCTACACTACATCTCTTTAAACTCAACATTATTTTGTTCTTCATGTATTTGCAGTCAATTGAAAATGTCATGAAAAGGCTACGCTCGATTATTGATGAAACGTATATGTTACGTGATTTCGTTCCCCTCAATCTCTTTATGCTGGATAATCGTCATGTCAAGCAATCGATTGTAAAGTTGGTGGTGCAAATTTATGATTTTATCATTGACTTTTATATGGCAGTAAATCTCAATGAAAATCGTGCGTAAGTAAATTTACAATATGTATATGTATATAGAATTGTGAATGCATATGTACATATATGTGTATGCATGTTCTTAATATTCAATGGACACATGTATGTACATACATATATTTTTGGTGTGTTAAGCTTATTGACTGGTGGGTGATGTTTCCGATTGCAAACAAATATTTCTGTGAATATGATTGAAAATTCCGCGTACTAAGAGCTTATTTTCCTTTTCAAAAGGCCAGAAGTGATTGGTATTGAATGTTGGATTGAAAGTGTTACACATTGAAATATGCATCCATAAGACATTTACGGATGGAAATAAATGAATTTCCAATAAAAAATGAATTTTCAGTGGAGCATTGATAGTTGTATTTTTTGTCATGCATTAATAAATGACAAATTGGATAACGCGGAATAAGAACTTGTACGTGTACATTTATAGTCCTACTTATGTCTGTGTCATTTAATTTGGTAAAGTAGAAATACAGCTTATTCGGTTTCAATCCTACAGACAAAAGGAAGGCTATACAATATAATTTGTGTTCCTGAACCAAAAAGCTTCTAAAATTTTTACCACTTTTGCAAATTATGCCCAAAAAACCATTCCCGAACTCCAAAAAGTTTGCAAAATAGTTACTCGCTTCTAGCTTCAATCAAAACTTCTTTTCATTTTAGTGTATTTTTCTAAACAACGTATAGGTCGCATTTATTACCCGATCCTGATGAAATTTTGCACAAATCTTTTGTTTGGCCCAAGGACGACCCTATTGAAATTGGAGATAATCGGTCAAAATTTAGTTATAGCTCCCATATATATCTTCGTCCTATTTGTATTTCATTTAGCACCAAACCTGTAATACCAGCCCAAATAGTATGGAATTTTTCTCATGTTTCCTAATTAGATCTGAAAACAAGTATGCCAAATTTGATCGAAATTGGCTCAAATATACCTATAACTCCCATATATATTATTCATCCGAATAGTTATTTTTATCCTCCGCAGCCGTAATATACTCTCTGAAAAAACTATGTTTTGGTAAACATATCAAATACAGCTCAGAAATACCGTTGCTAGATTATATCGATATCGGCTCAGATTTGCATATATCTCCCATACACAACTTTGTCCGATTTGCCCTTTATTGTGCACCACACGTCTAATATTAACCCAAATTGGATGGAACTTGGCACTTACGACCAAATTGAGTCTAAACATTAGTATGTAAAATTTGATGTAGATGGATTCGGATATAGCTCCAACTCTCATATATTTCTAGTCGATTTGAAATTACTCACGAATCAATTTTTATACCCTACAACACTATGTGTTGGGGGTATTATAAGTTTGATTGGGCCAAAAATTATGTAACTCCACGAAATATTGGTTTCCCACATAGGAAAGTATATATGGATCATCCTAGCTCGCCGAGCTGAGTCGATCTAGCTATGTATGTCCGTCCGTCCGTCTGTCCGTCTGTCCATGTTAATTTGTAATCACTCTACAGGTCGCAATTATGGCTCGATCTTCACGAAATTTGGAATGGAGGTCGGGGTCGGGCCAGAATAGAACCCTATTCCTTTTTGAGATGATCGCCAAATGTTTAGGGGTTGAAATGGACCAAATACTGAAAAAATGTCGGATTTTGCAGTAGCTATAGAGGTCGCAATTATAGACCAATCGACGCGGAATTTCGCATGTAGCTAGAGGAAGAAGCCTACCAATTTGGGTGGTCATCGGTTAATATTTAGCGGGTAAAATAGACCATATATTTTATGTTGAAAAAATTCAAAAATTTTCATTAAACCGCGAATATTTTAAATCCCGGCGAAATCACAAAGCCATGAGAAGGTTACTTCTGACCTTTACATTGATGTTAACATCCAACAAAACGGATATATAGCAAAATATGTGCGATATATATATCTATCAAAGAATATATGCTTGAAAAATCTCTTATATGTCGAGAACGGCTGAACTGATTTCGACAGTTCTCATTAATTCAGAATGGCCTCTTGGCAGGAAAGAAAAAACGTCTAAAAAAATCGCATAAAAATATCTCTCTAAAGATGAAAATATTGATTTTGTAAAATTTTCTCATATTTTTTCAATTTTGTCATATTTTTGGCATATTTTCATTTTGAATTAAACATTTGGTAATATTTCTACAGCTAACAAAACTAAGTATTTAGGATATCAGGATATCATATACAGATCGCATTTATGGCCCGATCCTTACGAAATTTTGCATGGGGATAAGATGAGGGTCAGAATAGAATCCTACTCTTTTTGGAGATGATCGCCATATATTTAGGGGTTGAAATGGACCAAAAAACTGCAAAATTGTCGGCAGGTCGTAATTATCGCCCGATCCTCACGCACATTTGAAAGGGGGTTACCGGACATTGCAAAAGCCAAGCAGTTTTGGATGGCCATCCAAAAATATTCAATGTGTGAAATAGTTTGCCAACTTTGGTAGACAAAATACGAAAATGTCCATTCCAGAGACTTTTTCGAGAATTCACAAATACACTTCTAAGAAATTATAGGTCTTTGGGAAATATTGGTTCCAGATCTAGGAATACCATTTAAGTGCAACATCTACCAATAAATTCGAAATGAACAAATTAGTTTAAGTTGCTATTATTCGAAAATTAGAGAACGAAACCTGATGGTTTTCTTTTATAATTTATCACAATATCTTGTGGAATTCTTTCGAGTATCTCGCCTATATAAAATGTATCGTTTATTATAGTGTTGTAGGGTATTCAACGGTCGGCCCCGCTCGACTGTAGCCTTTGCTTACTTGTTTTTTTTAATTTTTTCAAAAATGTGGACTTACTTTTTAGTATTGGTTTTGTAAAAATAAACCCTGATTTCAATCATTTTTTTAATTTTAATTTTTTTTTTTCAAAATCTTGTCATTTTGAGTTCTTTTTATGCAGAAACGCTACTTGCAAAAAAGTATCAACATAGGTTTACATCCAATACAGCCTTTGTAGAAATATACCCTCTGATTTTAGTTATTGCGAAGATTTGCTCATATTTTTCAAATCATTTGGCTGATATTTTCAATTATAGTTAAATGTGGGAGAAACCCTTCCGTGGGAATATTTTTTAATAGGAAGCATGGAAAGCATAGACCTATGTAAACAATTGTCTGCTACAGTTGATGGTATCTATTGCGAACATGTCACTTTTTTAACATCCACCATTGTATGGTATGGTAATGATTCTAGTGACAATATTCACAGGAACTGTTTCAAATTTCTTAATATGCAGGCCTATGTCTTCGTATAGCCCCAATATAACTGTATAGACCGGCATTGTTTCAAATTTCGTCTTTGAAGTTCTAATGAGTACTACTACCTATAACAGAAAATTCCTATAGTTCACATCCTCTTTATTCGGTATTTTAATGATATTAGCGACATTATTCACCGGAATTGTTTCAAACTTCATATTCGAAATCGGTACTTCAGCTTATGGCAGAAAATGCCTTATCCAGACAGCCGTATAACGGTTATCATTTTAGCGATATTCGACGGAATTGTTTTTGAAAATTATCAAGTTCTTCCAAAATGGCCCGACCGAACTTAGCTTTTATTGAGGTTACGATCTCGTCACTTGTGTAAACAAAAGTTTTTGTCATAGGAGTTATTTTTAAATAACTGGGCAGAATAACCTCGGACAAAAACAATAGAATTGATGAGAATTGGTGGCTCTTTCCGAAACAATGGTATTTCCTGCCTTATTACTAATAAATAAACGTTGTTTTCTATAAAAACAGCAAATAATGGGATTTAACCTAATTATTTTGCATAAACATCATTTTTTCCTTTTTCCTTCCAAATGTAGAAAATATGTTAACATTGAGTTTTAAATGCAGATGTAGTTGTGTCATCACATGGCCTCCTCCTCACCCGACTATAATAAATAATAACAAAAAAATTAACAGAAGTCTATTGCATTTTGTGAAAATTGTTGATATAGCTAAGCTCATTAAAACCGCCATAAAATTGTTTAACCTAAAACACTTCAAATTAATAAAATTATCCTTTTATGGCTCTCATATCTGACAAATTTCGTTGGAAAACAGAAGTTTTTTTTCATACGATTACCGTAAAAGTAAGGTCCTTCCTCTATTCACTATAACTTTCGTTGACCTCTTGCTTATATGGTCAACAATGAATTACACAAATGATCAATAAAATAGCATGAGTTTGACTATTATATTTAGCTAAGTTTAATCGACCCAAACATTTAAACCTTTCACCATTTGAGAAGAACATTTATAGTCTATAATAGGCGAGGTAAATCCTACTCTGAATTGATTTCTACTAAATTTGAAGAGGCATTTATGTCCGAACCTACATATATGCGTCAAAATCATTCCGATTTGAGCTGATTTTATACTTTTGAGGCACGATAAATTTAAAATCGGATAAAGATATATGGGAGCTATATCCAAATCTGAACCGATCTCGATAAAATTTGGTAAAGGGCTGTATTTGAAATATATTTGTTACGGAGCGCATATTACTGCTGCTGAGGACAGAAATAACAAATTGAAAGAAAAATATATACGGGAGATGCAACTATATCTGAACCGATTTCCACCAAATTTGACATATTTGTTGTACGTGCCATATTCTGTCCGATTTGGCCTAATATCACACATTTGGAGCACAAAAAAAGGCAAATCGGACGAAGATATATATGGGAGCTATATTTAAATTTTGACCGATTATCCAATCCAAGTAAAATATGGACCTATACATACATTGTTTCGCCATCGTAGCTAGAATCCATTATGACCAACAAATACCAATTTTTAGAAAAAATCCCTGCAAAAATCATCAAAATAACTTATATCGGGAGGTACTGTTATATGGGGGCTATACAAAAATATGGGCCTATAAATACGATGTTTCGCCACCGGAGCTAAAAGCCATTTTTACTTACATATACCGATTTCTAGACAAATCCTTTAAAATATATAAATGACAAATATACCAAAACGTTGACCGATATATCTACGACGAATATTTAGGGATGTTACAAACGGAATAACAAGGTCAATATACCCTCCTTTTCAAGGTGGGGGGTATATAAATGTATGGACAGACGGAAGGACGGTCATGCATAAATCGACTTAGAATATGATTTTATGCAGATCATCAAATGGATCTTAGGGGTCTATTACGCTTCCTTTTCCATGTTACAAAGAAATGCTCAAAGATATAATAGTACACACACCACAGTGCTGTGTAGGGTATAAAAACATGTCTTATTTTACTAGGTAGCCGTATTAAAAATTTATATTGTATTTCTAAAAATTGAAATTACCAAAGAGTTATCCAAATGAGTACTTCAAACTTGAACCCTTGAAATTCATTTTTGCATGAAAGCTGTATGCTCCCTAAATTAAAGCCGATTCCCTTAGAAATGTGTCGAAGAGCTTCAAAATCTCAACTTGGATTTGAGTAGTCTAATGAATTGGGTTTTGTTTAATATCTACAGGGTGAGATGAAAAAAACTGCAACAAAGTCAAACGCCATCATTTTTACATTTAGTTTAATTTTATTGAATGAAAGCGAAACATGTCGAAAATAGCATCCAATTTTAGAATAAGTTTAGATTTGTTCGAATTGGTCACCTCTGACACGAATCAAGCTTCAAACGGCTAATGAAATCGTCACGTCGCCCGAATATTGCTCGGCGGTATTTGACCCATTCCCGGCGAAACGCTTGCTTGGGGTGATCGACACTTTGGTATCTCATTTGGAGCTCATTTTTAATATTTGCCGAATGGAATATTTTTCGGCCACTGCGACGCGGGTTTCGATCAAGTCGCTTCTTTACTTTTCGAACCATTTCTACTAATGTTGCTGTTTTTCCGTCCACTTCCTTGACGTCGGGCTACGCTACCAGTACCACAGTAACGAGCGATGGTACGAGCTACTAAAGATTTATTCACATTTAAATTCTGATGTGCTCTAACGATAGCCACTTGTGTATATTTCCGCAAAACATGCCCAGTCGTTGTCTAGGTACTTCTAGTTAAAACAAACATTTCATAACACATATCACAATTATTATCGCACTCAAATCTTTAAAAATGTTGTATAGTAGCATCTTTTTTCCCAACCTTTGTTAATTAAACACTTGGTTCATACTCTTTACTTCCAACATTTTTAACGTTGCTCTTGGGTCCGGGATTGTATGCTGCTGATGTTTGCCCTGGCTCATTAAAGGATATGTGATGCTCTCGAGGAGATGTCAATGAAAGCAGGTGAACGACCCGAAGAAACAGCTGAAGTCGTTGCATTGCAAAATTATCTGTCAGAATGTCGAGATGAGCGCATCTTTGCCATAAAAGATGAAATAAAAATTGTTGCAAAACGTGTTATCTTCTTACTAACACATGCGGAACTAACAAGTGAGTATATGAGCTTTGCTGCACATAAATGAATGTACATTATAGTCCTTTGATATGGCAGTGGTCATCATTTGAAAAAAAATAATATAATAAAAAATACAAATACCTTACCGGACGGCTGTACCCTCCGTATTTTCGGTTATATCGCAATAAAGTGCAATTCGAACATGTATATTATGATCTCATTATACCCTCTACCATAGTATAAACGGTATTTAAAGTTCATCATTCGAACTCCAAATTTATTTGGATTAATAATTTTTTAATAATTCAATTGAAAACCAGTAAAGAAAGGCCAAAGTTGGACTGGACCGACTTTATGACACCCTACACCACTTTACATATATAGCAGAGCTAAATATAACAATAACAAATAAGCGTTATTAGGAGGAATTAAAGCATACACACTATGTTCGTTTTTGAATGCTTGTTATGGCTTTAAAGCACTTATAATTTAAAGTCAAAAGGAACTATTACAGTGTGATATAAAAAAAACTACAAAAAGTCAAACGCCATAATTTTTACATTTTATTCTTCAATTTTATTGAATTAAAGCAAAAAATGTCGGAAATTTTAGAATAAGTTTAGATTTGTTTGAATTGGTCACCTTTGGCACGAATTATGGTCGAATGTTGCTCTGCGGTATTTTGGCTTATTCCCGGCGAAGCGCTTGCTTGAGGTGATCGACACTTTTTAGTGCCAACATTGCTTTCTAAAATACTCCAGACACAATAGTCCAACGGATTTGTATCCGGAGATTTTGATGTCCAAGGTCTGCGGCATTTATTCTGATGCCACGGTCGATTAATACGAGCGGAGAGCGGCCATCGGCTGTTATCTTCGACAAGTAAACACTATCATTTTGTTTGTTTACAAACTGCTGGACAACGAATGTTTTCTCATCGGAGAAAACCAAATTCGGCAGATCACCACTTTCGACCAAGCGAAGCAACACTTTAGCTCTATTGAGTCTATTTTCTTTCTGTTGCGGTGTAAGTTCTTGCACTTTTTGGAATTTCAATGGCTTTACCTCGAGCTCATTTTTCAATATTTGCCGAATGGAATATTGCAATATGTTCAGATCACGAGCCATTTTTTCTGCCACTGCGACGCGTGTTTCGATCAAGTCGCTTCTTTACTTTTCGAACCATTTTTGCTGATGTTGTTGTTTTCTTCCGTCTACTTCCTTGACTTCGGGCTACGCTACCAGTATCACGGTAACAAGCGATGGTTCGAGACACAAAATATTTATTCACATTCTAATGATGGAGTGCTCTAGGATAGCCACTTGTGGTTTTCCAGCTATCCATCACGAATAACTTTTCTGGAAAATTCTCAACAAAATGTTTTTGTACGCTTGTAAACAATTTAATGAGCTATCACTGGAATTATTTTAACAGCTGTCGGTTAAAGTTTTTTCATCTCACCCTGTATATGTCAGGCTTCTATCGTATTTTACTAAATTTAACGGAGACTTTTGTGACTGAACCGATATTCATTTTTTAGACACAATAAACGTGGAATCCGGCGAAGATAGATATTGAAGCTATATCCAAATCTGAACTGATCTCTAAAAAATTTAGCAGAGGTATTTCTTTCCTTTATCTGACAGTTGGTACCAAATATCGTTGTTGTGGAGAGTATTTGGCGTGTGTGAGGGAGTAAAATACAAAATCGGATGACGAATATACATGGGAGCTATAGCTTTATCTTTACCGATATTCACCAAGTTTGATACACTTTCTTCTTTTAAGCTACATATTCGCCAAAATCCATTTAATGTGGGTCCTTATTAATCATTTGGTACACAATACATTTGAAATGAAGTTAAGATATATATGGAAGATATATCAAACTCTGAACTGATCTCGATTAAATTTGGCAAAAGTATTTTTGAAATGCATTTCTTTGAATATCGTTGTTACCGGTTGCATATTACGTCTGTGGAGGACAAAATTTAACAAATCGGATGAAAAACTTATATGGGAGTAATAGTTATATTTGAACCGATTTTCAACAAATTTGGCAAACTTGTTTCTAGGCTCAAATTCTATTTGGACTAATATTACAAAATTTGGTGCACTATAAAAGCAAATAGGGGGAAGATATATATGGGAGCTATATCTAAATTTTGACCGATTATCTCCAATTTCAATAGGGTTCGTTCATGGACAAACAAATATTTTGTGCAAAGTTTCATCTTAATCGAGCAATAAATGCGACCCGTACTTTGTTTACAAAAATACATGGACAGACGGACGAACGGATATGCATAGATTGACTCAAGATGCGATTCCATGCAGATCATCAAAAGGAACTATGGATCTAAGTATCTTTGGTGGATTTATGCTTCTTATAAAATAAAATCCAAATATCAACCTATTTAATTATTATGAACCTATTTCACCTTGGAAAGGAGGGTATATTAACTTTGTCATTCCGTTTGTAACACCCCTAAAAGACCCCATAAAGTATATACATATATTCATAATCAGTATAAAATTCTAAGTCGATTTAAAGATCTCCGTCTGTTTGTCTGTATGTCTGTCTGTCAGTTGAAATCACGATACAGTCCACATTATTTGACGTAGAACGTCAAAATTTAGCAGAATAGTTTGTTTTATGTCTAGGATGGTTGGTATTGGTCCACGTTTTGGTATAGTCCCCATATAACAGTACCTCCCAATATTCGGTATTTTGATGATTTTTTCCACATTTTTTTCACGGATTTGTCTAAAAATTGGTATTTGTAGGCCCTAACGGGTTCTAGTTCGTGTGGCGAGAGACACTGCATGTATAGGTTCACGCTTTCGTATAGCCCCCATATAAAGGTACCTCCCGATATTCGGTATTTTTTTAGTTTGCCACATTTTTTCATGGATTTGTCTGAAAATTGGTATTTGTTGGTGGCGAAACATTGCATGTATAGGTCCACGATTTCGTATAGCCCCCATATAACGCTACCTCCCGATAATCGACATTTAAATGGTTTTTGTCACATTTTTTCACGGATTTATCTAAAAATTTGGTATTTGTTGGTCATAATGGGTTCTGGCTGCGGTGGCGAAACATTGTAAAAATTGATATTTGAGGGACACAATGGGTTCTAATGTTTCCTTTACGGCCGAACTTAATGTTTTTACTTGTTTTTGGATAAATTCCGCCTCGCATTTAAACTTCATTGAAATTGGATATGTATATACCGAGTTCGAAATATGTATAAATATATCCAAACCTCAACCGATTTCAATATAGTGTGGCAAATTCTTTCTTGTACCAAATTCTATCACTCATTCCAAATTTCATTGAAGTTGGAGATACATAGCGTGTTTGGTGTATCAAATACATATATGAAATTGTCCGAAAAAATATATGGGATCCATATTCAAATCTGTACCGATACTATATCTATAAGCGATCAATAGATATGTGCATAGAAAATCAAAATTTTTTGGAGACGCCTCCGATTCAAATGCAATATATCCTATTCATAAATCGATGTACTCCTTTTACTGGTCATTACTTATTATTCATACTCATGTTAATTATAGACGACGACAAAAGTCGTCAATAGATAGGAGGGTCAGATTAGAACCCGATATTCGATATCTTGCCGATTTAGCCACACTTGTGGCTAAGTTCGTTTTTTAGAGTTTGTAATGTTTTTTACCTTATGTAACACAATATTGTCTATATAGCCCCCATATAAAAGTGCCGATTTTAGCCACACTCTCGACCGGAAAAATTTTAAATTTGATATTTAGAGTACAAAATATATTCCAGCTCCTGTGACAGAGCGTTGTCTAGCATATAGGTTCACGTTTTCTTATTATATATTAATATATTGACGATTTTAGCCACACTTTCTGACGGAAGAGTTTAAAATTCGATATTAACAGTTTATAATATGTTTTACCTCCTGTAGCAGAATATAGATCCAGTTTTATATAGATCCAGTTTTTGCAAGAGCTCCCATTTAAAGGTTCTTCCCAATATTTTGGAATTTTGACACTTTTAGCCACATGTTTTAACAGAATTACCAAAAATTCAGCAGAACCCCATAAGGGATTCCTCTGCTTATATAGAACTATAGAAATTGTTTTTCTATAGCCCTTATTTTTACGATATTCGTTATTTTGATTATCGTAGCCATCTTGTTTACGGAATTGTTTGCAATTTAAATTGGATGGTCCTAATAACAGAAGTGACACATACCCCCGGATTTTGGAATTTCAGCATTAACAGATATATTTTACATGAGTTACTTTCCAAGAACTTAACTGCTTTTCTACTTCTTTAAAATTATAATATATTTTGGTCGTATTTACTTTCAATTGCAGCCGAGGAAATTCACTTAAATACCCGAACTTTTGTGCTACCATCAGAATTAGAGGAAGTCTTGGATCTAAGTGCTGCTCGCCTCAATGTTGTGCGTGACAATTTGGAATTTGCTCTACGGTAAGTGGCCTGGCGATATGCATTATCACCAATGCCATTGCCAACAATTGCGGTTGATGTTGGCGTTAAACAAAGCGGTTTCAATGGAAATATAGTGTGTTTGTTGCAATTTTCGGTTTGTGTGTTTGTTGGTGTTTGTATACCCCCTGCCGTGAGGTGGAGGGTATATTAGGTTTGTTAGACAATTGGTTTCATCCCAAAATAATGTTTAAATCTGCCTGTTATGACATTTGTAACTAATTGTTTATGTGATGTGAAGGTAGCAACCTCTTTGAGGTCTCAGCCACTTTTTGAAATCGATTTGGCTATAGTTTTTATTATTCTTCTGTTATAGGGTAAAACGATATCGACACCGCCGTTTTCACTAGCTTTGTTTTTATGTTCATTTTCATTGCAGTGACAAACGCGTAAAATTCGAACAATTAATTTTGTATGAAAAACGTCGCATGGATGGCTTCCGTGTTAAAGAAACACGTGACGTTCTTACTTTGGATGAGCTTAAAGAGCGTGTCGATACCGTGGATGAATTATTCGATCTTATCGAGGTAAGTACCACCACATTGCCCTTTTGCCAGCGGGTGCATTGGGACAGAGAATACATAGTGTGGATTGTGTGTGCTCCTTACACAGACTGCACCTGATGCAGTCTGAAACATAGAAATTATTTAGTTTCAATGATTTGTCGCCCTATTGGCTTTTATGCGTATATCGATTTTCAATAATTTCCATTCATGGTACATGTTTTCTTGTTCTTTTTTGTCTTTCATTGCGATAGAATCTGAGTCGTGAGGCAAAAGCAATTAATGTCGAGGAACAATTGTTACAAATTGATGTTTCACCGTTCGCAGTATTGGCTGAAATCGTGGAAAAAATGGAACCCATCGAGAAGCTATGGAAAACGGCATATGAATTCGAAAAGAATCATTTAATATGGTAAGAGATATGGTCACAGCTGCAAAAGTAAAATGAAATGAGAGAAAATGGATATAAAATGCAAAATGAAACGATGCATGTTAGGGATTGAAAAAATGTATAAGGGCTTTAAAGAGATGTAGATGTGATATATAGCTAAATCGATATTAATTAAAAGAAATTAGGTATTAAAACCTTAAATGACTTTAATGTACCTTCGATCAACACGTTGTGATAAATTCTAAAATGCAAGGATAAAACATACATGATATAACAGTATTGATATTTATAACGGAATATTCTACATTTTATACATAGTACATTTCAAAAATAGTTTTCCAGAAACGAACAACGAAGCATTTAATTTTAACAAAAGATTGCTATTGAGGGGAAAATTGAGAAAAACTTACTTAGTTATTAGTATTTTAAATTTGAAAAAAAAAGGAAACCTACTTTTAGCCGAAATTTTCATACCCACCGTCGTAAGCACTTGATTTATGATCAAATCGGTTAACATGAAATTTCCTAAAAATTCGGGGAGCTGTACTAAAAATTAACCGATATGGCCAATATTTAAAACAAATTATTTTTGAAGTTATCTAAAGCTATCTGTATTATTGAAGTCGCTTCGTGTGTGTATATTTTTTATACTTTCCACCATATATAGTATGGAGGGTATATTAAGTATGTAATTCCGTTTGTAACTCACCGAAACAACAATTTTAGACCCAACAAAGTATATATATCCCTGATCAGCATAAAATTTTAAGAGGATTTAGCACTGCCTGTCCGTTCTAATCACGCTAGAGCCAAAACGAATTAAGATAGGAAGCCAAAAATTTGCACATATCTGTCTTTTGTCTGCAGGCGGGTCAAGTTCGAAGATGGGGTATATCGGTCAACGATATCGTATATCCCCCACATAACGATACCTCCCGATATTCGGTAATGTTATGCTTTTAGCCATATTTTTCAATGGAATTGTCTGAAATTTTAAACAAGGAGTTTTTTGTGAGTACTTTATCCCCTGGAAAAGTATTGTCTATCTGGGTCCTCGATATCGTAAAGCTAATTTTATGATTTTATTTTGATGATTTTACCTACGTTTTTCAATGGAATTGCCTGAAATTCTAAACAAGGAGTTCTTAGGATACATAAAGAATTTTGAAATTCCACATGGAAAGAGAATATAGACCCACTATATCGTATACCCCCATCGGGGGTACCGATATTCGGTATTATGACGATTTTACCCACGTTTTTCAATGGAATTGTCTGAAAGTCTAAACAAGGAATTCTTAGGATATAAAAAAAATTTGAATTTATACATGGAAAGAGAATATAGACCTACCACATCGTATATCCCCCCACATAACGGTACCTCCCGATATTCGGTATTTTGATGATTTTAGCCAATTTTTTCAACGGAATTGTCTGAAAATCCACACAAAGAGTTTCTTGTGAGTACTTTATCCCCTGGAAGAGAATTATCTATATCGGTCCACGATATCGTATAGCCCCCATATAAAGGTATCCCCTGATATTCGGTATTTTGATGATTTTACCCACGTTTTTCAATGGAATTGTTTGTAATTCTAAACAAGGAATTCGTAGGATATATAAAAAATTTTGAAATTCAACATGGAACTGGAGATATAGCATCAGAATTGGAGGTGCCTCAAAAAAAATTCGATATCTTTATGCACATATATTTAGATACAGTCTTTAAATTTGCGAAATGGAATTTGGTACAAAAAAAATTCAAATTATATTGAAATCGGTACGGATTTGGATACAGCTCCTACATACATTTTCGGCCCTTTTCGTGTATTTGATGTACATAACACCATATGCATTTCCGATTCCAACAAAATTTGGAATGTGTGACGGAATTTGTTCTGGAAGTAAACGTATCGAATTTTATTGAAATCGGTTGAAGTTTGCATATAGCTTCCATATATATTTTCGGTCGATTTCATTTAAATACGAAATTTGAAACAATTCCAGTCTATTATATTTATACTACCATAAAGATACCGAATATTGGGAAGTACAGTTGTATAGAGGGTATGCGAAAACGAGGACCTGCATACGGATTTTTTGTCACAGGTTACAGTACCCATTAAGATCCTCCAATGCGAAATTGTTAACGATTCCGGTCTATAATGTCATTAAAATCATCAAAATGGCGAATATTTAGAAGTACCGTTATATAGGGGCTATAAGAAAACGTGGACATGACCCATTTTCGAATTTAACCTGCCTCTTGTCAAAACACACCACACCATAGTATGGTGGAAGGTATAAAAAATATATATGTTCGTATATGAAATTCAACACATGTTTATAAATTCAAAAGGATATATATTATATAAATATATAATATACATATAATGTTACCCCTGAATTTTGGAATTTTGAAGGTTCCTGTCCAACTTTTCAACTAAATTAGTTATAATTTTTTTATTTCGGGTTCTCCGTAGTTAGTTTCTGCCCTTATTTTAAAGCAAATCAAAGTAAATCAATATATCGGTTTCTTTTTGAGGAAATAAAAAAAATCATTTGGTGAAAATTCATTTCAGTTCTGACTTTAATCTTCAGGAACAATATGTTTTTCTACAGCCCTCATGAAAATTTTGAAAAAAAAATAAAAATTTTCACAAGAGCGACCTTAGCGCGAATTTTTGTAATATCAAATGTTTATTATATTTCGATAGTTTTCCCCCCAATAATTTTCTTGAAGATTTTTACCCACTCATTCATCGGAAACATTTTTAAAGTATATATAAATATTTTTTTTAACTTTGTCTCTTATATAAATTGAAGCCCTCTTCAAAGAAGAGTCTTGGCCCCATAACTGAGCACTAATCCGTATTCCATTTTATACTTGATGTATTTTCACAGGATGTACGAACGATTCCAGTGTTTAAATGCGGATGTCATTGCAGAGGAAATAGAGAACATGTACCGGGTAAGTAGGAAGCAATTGATGGAATTACAGCATGACCACCCTTTGCAAAGTCGAAGAAAAAATGGAATAGGAGCAGAATGTAGCGGAACGAAGTGTACAAAAGGCAATAAGGCAAACCAGCTATGTACTAACTTGGGAAATGCAATCACAACATGAAATTTCTTGCAAGCGAAATTGACCTGCTGCCACCCAGTTGTTGGGGTGTTCCAGGATGGGATACAGCATTTATGTTTTTTTGCCAAGCATTCTTTGGAACATAGGCTGCAAGAAGGAAGCAAAACACAAACAGAAACGTATTATAAAATCAACAAACGGAAAAAGTGAAGGCATAGATACGGCAGATATATAATGGGTCAAATGACGTTACTGTTGCAATCTCACGCATCATTGCAGTTTTCTATGGTTTTTTTTTTTTGGTATTTTGTGGAGCTAGATTCCATCGACATTTAAATAAATATAAATTAGATTAACATTTAAATTTGCATTTAATATCTAACATCAAGTTCTGTTCTGTGAAATAATTACAGATTGTGTACAAGCTATCTAGACAGCTTGCCCAAAATCCCGTTGCCAAACGAGCCGCTGAACAGGTGCGGGTTAAAATTGAAAAATTTCGTGTATATCTGCCAGTTTTGGACGCCATTTGTCGTCACGGTTTGGAGGAACGCCATTGGGAAATGATATCCCAACATATGGGCAAGGAATGCAATCCAACACTTTATCCCAGTCTTAAGGACATGATAGATGCTGGTATCATGTCCATTCTGCCACAACTTGAGGAAATTTCAATTGCGGCAGGCAAAGAATACGATTTGAATCAATTACTTGAGAACATGCGGAACGATTGGAAAGATGTTTGTTTTGATGTATTGCAATATCGTGATTCCGACACCCACATTTTGGCCTCATTGGATGACATACAAACTCTCTTGGATGATCATCTTATGCGAACACAGGCCATGAAGAGATCACCGTATATCGTTGCCCTCGGCACCAAGGCAGATGATTGGGAAAATCGATTAGCACTTATACAAAATATTATGGATACATGGACTGAAGTACAGATAACGTGGATGTATCTGGAACCCATATTTTGTTCTGAAGATATCATGCGACAAATGCCCCAAGAGGGTCGCAGTTTTAAGGCGGTAGATAAAATATGGCGTCGTATTGTGCGCCACACATTGGACGACTTGCATGTAATGGCAGCTACAGACTATCCCGATATGTTGAACATATTTAAAAAGGCCGTCGAAGATTTGGAATCGGTTCAAAAGGGGCTGAACACGTATTTAGAACAGAAACGTCTATATTTCGCACGGTTTTTCTTTTTGTCCAACGACGAATTGTTGGAGATATTGTCGGAGACAAAGGATCCATTACGTGTGCAACCGCACTTGAAAAAATGTTTTGAAGGGGTATGTAGCAATGTCATGGGGAATGTTTATAAGATAACTTATGAAACAAAAACCTTAAATTATTGTGCCGTTTCAGATATCATTGTTGACATTTGATGATAATTTGGAAATAACGGGAATGGTATCCGATGAAGGCGAGAAAGTTGCTATGGTGAGGAAGATTAATCCACAGGCTGCTAATGTAAGTATAAAAGCAATTTTTGATTGAATTCGTAACATTTCATTTGTAATTCGAATTATATCAGTTGTAATTCGAGAAATCCATTTGTAATTCTACTGATTCCATTTGCATTTCGAATTATTTCATTTGTGATTCGAATTATTCTATTAAGTTTAAAGGGTGAGATAAAAAAGGCTCTGATATATATATATATATATATATATATATATATATATATATATATATATTTTTTTTTTTTTTTTTTTTTTTTTTTTTTTTTAATTCTTGAAGTGATATCATGCACTCCACAGAAATTAAATGATTAAGAATTAAAAAGATTAAAATGCCTCCGTCAAATTTAATGAAAATCGATTCAGAATTGTATATGGCTCTCATATATTACTTCCCTCTGAAACCAAACTATAACTACTCTAAAGCCAAATGTTGATGGTGGTATGATTTACTTCAAATAAATTTTTTTGTTACGAGAGCTCTACTAAATATGCGTAGTGGTGTAGGGTATAATATAGTCGGCCCCGCTCGACTTTTCCTTACATATTTTTTAATTTTATTGAATGAAATAAAAAAAATGTAGAAATGGCATCAAATCTTAGAATAACCTATGACCTTCAAAGACCAATGAAACCGTTACACGCTGATTGAATGTTGCTCTGTGGTATTTTGGCCCATTCCCGGCGAAGCGCTTGCTCGAGGTGATCGACACTTTGGTATTTTTTAGTGCCAACCTCGCTTTTCAAAATACTCCAGACACAATAGTTCAACGGATTGGTATTCGGAGATTTTGGTGGCCATTGTGCGCTGGAAATGAAGCGAGAAACCTGAGTCCTGTTGGAATGTCCAAGGTCTGCGGCCAAAATATTTGCATGCCCAAGCCTTTAATACATCATCCAGTATATTTTCGCATTTATTTTGATACCTCGGTCGATTAATACGAACGGAGAGCGGCCATCGGCTGTTATGGCGGCCCACACCACTACCATGGCCGGCGCTTGAGTTCTGGTGGACAACCGAAGGTGCACAGTTTTGGCAAGTAAATACGATCATTTTGTTTTTTTTACAAACTCTTGAACAACGAATGTCTTCTCATTGGAGAAAACCAAATTCGGCAGATCACCACATTCGGCTCTTTAGCTCTTTTGAGTCTACTTTCTTTCTGTTGCGGTGTAATTTCTTGCACTTTTTTGAATTGCAATGGTTTTACCCCTAGCTTATTTTTTAATATTTCCTTAATGGAATATTCCGATATGTTCAGCTCACGAACCATGTTTGGGCCACTGCGACGCGAGTTTCGATCAAGTCGCTTCTTTACTTTTCAAACCATTGCTGCTGAATTTGATGTTTTCTTCTGTCCACTTCTTTGACTATCAGTATCACGGTAACGAGCGATGGTACAAGACACAAAAGATTTATTTATATTTAAATGCGATAGCCACTAGTGGCTTTCCAGCCAAATATAAATAAATCACACTATCATGCGTGAATTCCATCGGATAATTTTTTTTCTGGAAAATTTGTACGATTGTAAACAATATAATTAGTTGTTACTGGAATTATTTCAACAGCTGTCCGACTTAGAAATGAGAGCAGTCTGAAATTGGTTGTAGTTTTTTCATCTCACCCTGTATGATGATTATTGGAGGAGAGGAGCAATTAGTTTCAGTATTTGCACCCTATGGTCGGCTCCGCCCGACTATAGCCTTTGATTACTTTTTTTTATTTGGGTTAATAAATATTTTTCTTTTTAAGGGACTCGTTGAAATATGGCTAAAAGAGGTTGAGGGTACAATGCTGGACAGTGTTAAAGAACAAATGAAATATGCCTGGGATGATTATTTTGCTGTTGATCGTATTCACTGGGTTGTATCGTGGCCAGGACAAGTTGTACAATCCATCTCATGTATGGCATGGACTTATGAGGTACAACGAATAACTTGTAAATCATATTCATTGCCATTAAAACGACATATTTCTATTGTAGGTTGAGGAAGCCATTGAAACGAGCACGTTGACGACATATATGGCTAAACTCAACTCACAGATCGGAGACTTAGTAAATTTGGTAAGAACTGATCTAAGCAGTGGGACCAGATTAACAATTGAAGCCCTCATTGTTCTCGACGTCCATGGTAAGTTAAAATAGTAGTGAATTAGTATTCTTATTTTTAAAAATGTTAATATTTTTAATACAGATCGCGATGTTGTAAAGTATTTAATGGATGTCAATGTAACATCATTGCTAGACTTCGATTGGTTGTCACAGCTGAGATATTATTGGAAAATCACCGAAAGTATGTCCTTACAATTTTTCTCATCTGCAAAAATTTAATTTTGTGTCTATCAATTCAAAACAGAGCGCGAAGAATGGGTCTGCGTTAGTATGGTTGTGACTGATGTCAAATACGGCATGGAATATTTAGGTAACACCACTCGTCTGGTTGTTACCCCTCTAACCGATCGTTGCTACAGGTCAGTATCGCAACAAAAAGAATATTGTAATAAAAGGCTTTGGCACATTACAATAAGTACATGGAAGAACATTTGTTTTGTTTTTATCTCTAACGCCTTTGAATGTCTTGTACTGGACCAAAACAAAAGAGAACTGTAAATAACTCACTGCGGAGTAATGGCTCTTTGTAACCTTAAGGCAGGAAAGACACATAAAAGTGACACAGAAAATATTCCGTCCTACATAAATCAAATCCAAGTCGAAAGTGATATTTTCACTTTCCTTTAAAAATAAATACAGCAGCCACAGTAAACACAGGGATTTTTTTTTAATAAAACTGTATCTAGAAAATTCCTTGCAATTAAATGTTAATTAAGGACGTTACGTCTTCATTTTCAGAACACTCATGGGAGCTCTAAAACTTTGTCTAGGTGGAGCTCCAGAAGGTCCTGCTGGAACTGGAAAAACTGAAACCTGCAAGGATTTGGCCAAAGCTGTAGCTAAAAAATGTGTCGTGTTCAACTGTTCTGATGGATTAGATTACAAGGCGCTGGGTAAATTTTTTAAGGTATATTTATTATATTATCAAAGACGAAGTCCAAACTAAAATGCGAGACTATATAACATAGTAACGAGTATCACTAAACACGACGAAGACGGTACTTGAGACGGCGGACAGTTTTGTATTCGTAGCCATTTTCACCTAAAACAGCGGAGTCATCAGATTCCTCAGCAGTCTTGACTTCAGGAACGACTTCGGTGGTGACTTCTTCAGCTGGGGGCAAGTACTCATTGGCTATTTCTGAAACATCGCGACGATGACGATACTTAAGACGACGAACGGTTTTGTATTCATAACCATTTTCACCTAAAACAGCGGAGTCATCAGATTCCTCAGCAGTCTTGACTTCAGGAACGGCTTCGGTGGCGACTTCTTCAGCTGGGGGCAAGTATTCGTTGGCAATTTCGGAAACATCGCGACGATGACGGTACTTCAGACGACGAACGGTTTTATATTCATAGCCATTTTCACCCAAAACAGCGAAGTCATCAGATTCTTCAGCAGTCTTCACTTCAGGAAGGGCCTCGGTGGCGGCTTCTTCAGCTGGGGGCAAGTACTCATTGGCTATTTCTGAAACATCGCGACGATGACGATACTTAAGACGACGAACGGCTTTGTATTCATAACCATTTTCACCTAAAACAGCCGAGTCATCAGATTCCTCAGCAGTCTTGACTTCAGGAACGGCTTCGGTGGCGACTTCTTCAGCTGGGGGCAAGTATTCGTTGGCAATTTCGGAAACATCGCGACGATGACGGTACTTCAGACGACGAACGGTTTTATATTCATAGCCATGTTCACCCAAAACAGCGGAGTCATCAGATTCTTCAGCAGTCTTGACTTCGGGAACGGCTTCGGTGGCGACTTCTTCAGCTGGGGGCAAGTATTCGTTGGCAATTTCGGAAACATCGCGGCGATGACGGTACTTCAGACGACGAACGGTTTTGTATTCATAACCATTTTCACCTAAAACAGCGGAGTCATCAGATTCCTCAGCAGTCTTGACTTCAGGGACGGCTTCGGTGGCGACTTCTTCAGCTGGGGGCAAGTATTCGTTGGCAATTTCGGAAACGTCGCGACGATGACGGTACTTGAGACGACGAACGGTTTTGTATTCATAACCATTTTCACCCAAAACAGCGGAGTCATCAGAATCTTCAGCAGTCTTGACTTCGGGAACGGCTACGGTGGCGACTTCTTCAGCTGGGGGCAAGTATTCGTTGGCAATTTCGGAAACATCGCGACGATGACGGTACTTCAGACGACGAACGGTTTTATATTCATAGCCATGTTCACCCAAAACAGCGGAGTCATCAGATTCTTCAGCAGTCTTGACTTCGGGAACGGCTTCGGTGGCGATTTCTTCAGCTGGGGGCAAGTATTCGTTGGCAATTTCGGAAACATCGCGACGATGACGGTACTTCAGACGACGAACGGTTTTATATTCATAGCCATTTTCACCCAAAACAGCGGAGTCATCAAATTCTTCAGCAGTCTTCACTTCAGGAAGGGCCTCGGTGGCGGCTTCTTCAGCTGGGGGCAAGTACTCATTGGCTATTTCTGAAACATCGCGACGATGACGATACTTAAGACGACGAACGGTTTTGTATTCATAACCATTTTCACCTAAAACAGCGGAGTCATCAGATTCCTCAGCAGTCTTGACTTCAGGAACGGCTTCGGTGGCGATTTCTTCAGCTGGGGGCAAGTATTCGTTGGCAATTTCGGAAACGTCGCGACGATGACGGTACTTGAGACGACGAACGGTTTTGTATTCATAACCATTTTCACCCAAAACAGCGGAGTCATCAGAATCTTCAGCAGTCTTGACTTCGGGAACGGCTACGGTGGCGACTTCTTCAGCTGGGGGCAAGTATTCGTTGGCAATTTCGGAAACATCGCGACGATGACGGTACTTCAGACGACGAACGGTTTTATATTCATAGCCATGTTCACCCAAAACAGCGGAGTCATCAGATTCTTCAGCAGTCTTGACTTCGGGAACGGCTTCGGTGGCGATTTCTTCAGCTGGGGGCAAGTATTCGTTGGCAATTTCGGAAACATCGCGACGATGACGGTACTTCAGGCGACGAACGGTTTTGTATTCATAACCATTTTCACCTAAAACAGCGGAGTCATCAGATTCCTCAGCAGTCTTGACTTCAGGGACGGCTTCGGTGGCGACTTCTTCAGCTGGGGGCAAGTATTCGTTGGCAATTTCGGAAACATCTCGACGATGACGGTACTTGAGACGACGAACGGTTTTGTATTCATAACCATTTTCACCCAAAACAGCGGAGTCATCAGAATCTTCAGCAGCTTTGACTTCGGGAACGGCTTCGGTGGCGACTTCTTCAGCTGGGGGCAAGTACTCATTGGCTATTTCTGAAACATCGCGACGATGACGATACTTAAGACGACGAACGGTTTTGTATTCATAACCATTTTCACCTAAAACAGCGGAGTCATCAGATTCCTCAGCAGTCTTGACTTCAGGAACGGCCTCGGTGGCGATTTCTTCAGCTGGGGGCAAGTATTCGTTGGCAATTTCGGAAACATCGCGACGATGACGGTACTTAAGACGACGAACGGTTTTGTATTCGTAGCCATTATCACCCAAAACGGCGGAGTCATCAGATTCTTCAGCAGTCTTGACTTCAGGGACGGCCTCGGTGGCGACTTCTTCAGCTGGGGGCAAGTACTCATTGGCTATTTCTGAAACATCGCGACGATGACGATACTTAAGACGACGAACGGTTTTGTATTCATAACCATTTTCACCTAAAACAGCGGAGTCATCAGATTCCTCAGCAGTCTTGACTTCAGGAACGGCCTCGGTGGCGATTTCTTCAGCTGGGGGCAAGTATTCGTTGGCAACATCGGAAACATCGCGACGCTGGCGGTATTTTAAACGCTTCACTGTTTTATACAAATACCCATTGTCTGTAAGAGCAGCTGAATCTACCGGAGTTGATGACTCCAACGCAACAGTGTCTTCCATTGGTGGCAGGTATTCATTAGCTGGACTATCGATGGCAGCTGAGGCTGCAAGAGCCAATAGCGAAAATGCTACCACGAAAATTCTCTGCAAAGAAATGAAATATGAGCATTAGTGATATGTATGGGATTTTAACGGACTAGATGTTACCATTTTAATGTTTGCAACCAGGTATTCTATTCGAATAGATATTTTGGAAGAGACACTGTATGTGAATGTGTGTTCTCGCCAGAGGAGATGGCTAGAATGAGGTTTGCTCTTTCCGAACACTCTTTATATAGAGCAACAAATATGACCCAACTTGCTGAATTGTATCTAATCATCAGTGTTTAACCCTGCAGTCAACGAATTGCTACATATCTCAAGTGGTCTCTTGTATCTTAACTGTATTAATTGATTATCCATTACCAGCTTTGAACTGTGGTGCCAGTTAACCTTGATAAGCGTATGTCTTTTGCTCGGTGTTTGTATTTTAATTTCATTAGTTTGTAAGTATAAGTACCTCTTAAGTATGAGGCAAACCACTTGAGATTCCGAACAAGTGTTATACATGATGGTGGAAGATGTTTTCAATGCGATAGAGAAACATTGAACAGAAAACTCCTGCAATGAGAGATAACTTTGAAACTAAGATTATGATTATAAGGTTTATTCATGTAATGCAAACGAAAAACACTTGCATTATGGGTAATAAATTTAATTGGCTCTTTTAAAGACCAAGGCTTAATTAGCATCGTACCACAAGGAATGGTCTGACATATTCCATATTCACACCTGATTTTGTGTTGATAGATTGTATGATATTTGAGGAGAATCGGATATTTATTTCGCATTTTATGAGAAAAATATACTAATTCAAAATGTTGACTCGTTGGAAGGTATCAAAAGGAATGGTCCGGTATTCCATCTTAACACCTGATCTTATTACCCTTTTCGATTTTATATGTAATCAAAATTTTATATGAGTATGTCAAATACATGAAATAGGCCGAAAATATGTATGGAAGCAAAACCTGAGCCGATTTCAATATAATTTGGCAAAAATCATTTTTTTACCGAATACCGTCACTTTTTCCAAATTTCATTTGAATCAGACATATATATCGCGTAGATGCAAAAAATACATGAAATCGGCAGAAAGTGCATAAAGAAGCCATATAATTTGAAGAATTTATTTTTGTAAAAATTTAGTCACACAATCCAAATTTAATTGAAGATGGATATACAGAGTGTGATAAAAAAAACTGCAACAATGTCATAATTTTTACATTTTTTTAAAATTTTATTGAATGAAAGCAAAAAAAAAAAATTCTGAAATCACATTTTTGAATAAGTTTAGATTTGTTGAAATTGGTCACCATTGGCAAGAATTATGGCCTTCAAACGGCCAATAAAACCGTCACACGCTGCCCGAATGTTGCTTTTGGCCCATTACTTACTTGAGGTGATCGACACTTTGGTATTTTTAGTGCCAACCTTGCTTTCCAAAATACTCCAGACACCGGAGATTTTGGTGGCCACTGTGCGATGGAAATGAAGCGAGGAACCTCATTTTGTAACCATTCTTGGGTGGCGCGTGCTGAGTGCGATGGTGCTGAGTCCTGTTGCAATGTCCAAGGTCTGCGGCCAAAATGTTCGCGTGGCCAAGGCTTTAATAAGCCCCCCAGAATATTTTCGCGATAATATTCGGCATTTATATCTATTTTCTATCTATTTTCTTTCTGTTGCGGTGTAAGTTCTTGCACTTTTTGGAATTTCAATGGCCAAGCTCATTTTTCATTATTTGCCGAATGGAATGTTGCGATATGTTCTGCTCACGAACCATTTTTCGGCCACTGCGACGCGGGCTTCGATCAAGTCGCTTCTTTACTTTTGTTGCTGTTTTCTTCCGTCCACTTCCTTGACGTCGGGCTACGCTAAATGCTGGAGTGCTCTAACGATAGCCACTTGTGATTTTCCAGCCAAATATAAAGTAATCACACTATCACGCTTGAATTCCATCACGAATAACTTTTTTCTGGAAAGTTCTCACCAAAATGCTTTTGTACGCTTGTAAACAAATAATGAGCTGTCACTGGAATAATTTTAACAGCTGTGGGACGAGTGAATTAGCAATGACAGCAGTCTGAAGTTGGTTGCATTTTTTTCATCTCACCCTGTATATCCAAGCTTTAACCGACTTCAATATAATTTGGCAAATTGATTCTTGTAACAGATTCCATCACTCATTCCAAATTTCATTGCAATCGGACATACACATAATTTTGAACCGATTTATTGGCAAATTTATTTCTGTTCGAAATTCCGTTACACATTCCAAATTTGAAGACTGTATCTATAACCATTAAATAGATATGTGCATAACAACTTAAAATGTCTTGGAGGTACCTCCGATTCTGTTGCTATATCTTCTGTACCAAGTGGAATTTCATAAATTTGTATTTGTGGAAAATTGCAATAAAATCTGTTTAGCTGTGCTTGAATGTTCAAATTACTAACAAAGAAACAATCAAATGACCAAAAAAAAAAATTAATAGATAAAGAAGAAGATTATTATTCAATATTTTGACCCATTGTGTAGCCCAATATTGTCCATTTTGGCACCGACACAACACTGCTACAAATATTGGAATTTGATATATTTGCACAAAATTTGATGATTGTTTTTTCATTTCATTCATATTTTACCTCATGTGGGGGAGGTACCAGATGGAGTGGACGGATATTGTCCATCTCAGAAAGCGATCTAAGCTTGAAAATAATATTACTATGTACCAAGTTTAGTTAGCTCCCTTCGACAGTTAACAGACAGACGGACTAACACCCCTAGATCGACTCCAAATGTCCTGAAACGAAATTTTGTCCAAAGGAACCTAGGGTGTAAAATCGTTATTTCGATGAGGCACGTTTGCCCGCATTAAAAGATATATGTATGTACCCTGTAGCCTGAGGTTATAAAAAAATATTATGTCCGAAGTTTAAAGAGAACTGGGGAATTTTTTAGAATTTTATAAAAGTTATCACTGTTACTCATTATATATGTGGATATGATACCAGAAGGAATGGTGTGCGAAAGCTGATTCCAATCTTACTAGGTCCAATGATCGCTTCTGAAATAAAATTGATAAAAATATTAGCATTGAAGTTAGTTTGTTGGCGTTCGAATCATAAACGATTTAATTTATTTGCTACAAATAGTAGAATACAACTTCAGAATCGTCTAACAATTAATACATATTTGGTCTAGCAATATAAGTATGGAATGTTTTTAAAACCCCACTTCGCCATTGAAATTGATGTGTTCATATCGCCAACGTTAATAACGTTTATTAAACCACAATCATTGAGTCGGAGGTGAAAGCCTTTTCCTATTACTCCGATTGCTCTCATAGCTATTTTTTCAACTTGATAAATAAAAAGAAATTTGTTCTGGCTTATAAAGCGGTTCTCAACAGTCTTCGTTGTTTTAGCAAAAGTACTCAAACCAAGGTATCCTTCGTACCTAATCACAGCAATATGAGCGTCCTTTGCCTCTATTGGATCCCTTGAATGCACTTGTTTACAAAATAAATATTTATTCGTTATGGAAAATCAAAGACACAAGTGTGTGAATGTGCGTGTATGTATGTGCCTGCACATAAACAAAGACCTCACATACACTTTGTTCGATGACAAACAAAGAAGATACAAAGCATAAGAGGAAAGACACATAAAGGACTGCCATGCCTTAGCATAACCATTGGTTAACAAAGCACATTTATTATACCAATAAGGGGGTCCAAGGATAATAAAAATGAACATTCGTTGCCGAACATAAAAGCCATAAATTGGAATAAAGGCATAGTTGGAAAACAATAGCAGTATCTGCCAAAGATGTGAACCATTTCTTGAGGGTGCTAAACACGAATGATACAAAGTAAATTTTTTGCCATACTCTGTTGTGTTCCCAAATAGTAATTTATGAACAATGAAATATAGGGCCTGTTCTGATTCTGAAATGACAAGGAACGAATTTACAGTAGTATTTAAACACATGAGGATATGAAATAAAAAATTTGTGTTCAATTATATTGATAATTTTTTAAAGGTCTTTTAAAGACCATAGAGAACAAAGTTTCAAAATAATGTTAACAATTCAATTTTAGGGACCTGGATACCGAATTAGATACATATTCTAACTGGTTTTTTTATGAATATTGAATCACTTTATCTCGTTCAGAATCGCACATTCCTGATTAGAATTGGGTAGGTTTTTAACGGTTTGAGATATTTTCGTGTGTTTTACATTTTCTTTAATACATATTTCATGAAAAAACAGCTTTCGTGATATTTGAGGCCAAAGTCTAGATTTTGTTATTCTTCTTAAAATTCGAATTATTATCAGGGGTTTGATAATTTAAATATTTTGTAAAAAAATAACAAGCAAAAAAAGCTATAAATTTGAATATTTGAATATCCTCCAATATTTGGAACGAATTTGTCAATTTTCAAAAAAAAAAAAATAAAATCCGTTAAAAATTCTGTTAAAAAGGGTCTAAACGACGACATAGGCAACTTTTGGCATTAGCTATTATAATATTCAAATGCGAAACTTAAAACAAATCGGTGAATAATGTAGCTAAAATCATCAAAATACCGTATATAGGGAGGTACCGGTATATGGTGGCTATACGAAGAGATGAATCTGCATATTAACTTTTTCTATGGGGGCTATACTAAAATATGGACATGTACAGACAATTTTCTGCCATTACGAACTTCAAATACCAATTCGAAACAATTCCAGAGAATAATGTCGCTAAAATCAACAAAGTACCGAATATCGGGAGGCACCGTTTTATGAGGGCTATACGAAGACGTGGGCCTACACAGACAATTTTCTGTCTTAGGCTGTAGTATCCATTAGGAACTTCAAATACCAAATTTGAAACATTTCCGGCGAATAATGTCGCCCCTATACCAAAATGTGGGCCCACATGGCCCATTTTCAATACTAAAAGCCCTGCAGACATAATATACATTTGAGTAAAATTTTATCAACCTACTTCATTTCGTTCGGAAACTTGAGTGATTTCCACAGACGGACGGACATCGCTAAATCGACATTGAATGCTGATCAAGAATATGTATACTTTGTGGGGTCTAAAATGTATATTTCGAGGTATTACAAACGGCATGACAAACTGAATATACTCCCCATACTATGGTGGAGTATATAAAAAAGTCATAAGTTTTTCGAAAGATATCTACCCTCGACATTTAATTACTCAATTTTGTATACCGCTCTCGGGAGGCGACATATCCTAAACATTACAATACCTGATGTTTAAAGAGAACTGAGGAATAATTTCGCATTTTATAAAAGTTTTGATCATTATTCATTATATTCGTCGTTAAAGTACCAGAGGGAGGGATATGCGAAAACTGATTCCACATTTTTTACTGGGGTCAATGACTCCTTCTGATCTGAGTTTCATACAAATATTACCACCATATATCATATGTCAAATACAGCTCAGAAATACTTTTACCAAAGTTTATCGAAGTAGGCTCAGATTTGGATACAGCTGCCACACATATAACTTTGTCAGATTTCAGGTTTATTGTGCACCAAATGGTTTATATCAACTCAAATGAATAGATTTTTTCATATTTAACCGAATTTTGTAGCAATGTTATATGGTATAAGAGATAAAAACGTCTCCTTCAAATTTGGTAAAAATACTTTCAGATTTGAACATAACTCTCATGTATTAGTTTCCTTTGAAACCAAATTATAACTGCTCTAAAGCCACGATAATAAACTACTTCTCATAAATTCCCAATATAAACATTTTTATACCCTACACCACATAGTGGTAAGGGTATTATGTCTTTGTGCATTTGTTTGTAACATGGAGAAGGAAACGAGATAGACCCATAGTTACTTTTGAGAACCTTCATAGAATCACTTTCTGAGTCGATTTATGCATGTCAGTCCGTCTGTCCGTCCGTCCGTCTGACCATGTATTCTTGTGAACAAAATGCAGGTCGCATTTATTATCCGATTGAGATGAAATTTTCAAAACAATATTTTTTTGGCCCAAGGACGAACCCTATTGAAATTGGTGAGAATCGGATCAAATTTAGATATAGCTCCCATATATATCTTCATCCGATTTCCGGTTAAATGTGCACCAAATGTCCACTATCAGTCCAAATTACCTGAATTTTGGCACACCCAACCGAGTTCGGCCTAGAAGCAAGTATATCAAATTTTGAGAAAATCGGTTCAGATATAGCTATAGCTCCCATATATATCTTTCATCCGATTTGATCTTTAAGTCCCTCACATTCCTACTATGCACTCCACAACCGTGACATTTGGTACCAGGTATTAGATGGAGCACAGGAATAGCAGTTTTAAATTTTACCGAAATCGGCTCAGATTTGGATATAGCTCCCATATATATCTTCATCCGATTTCGGGTGATTGACCACCAAATGGCCGTAATAGCATCAATTTTGGCAAATCCGACCGAAACCAGCTTAGAAGCAAGTACACCAATTTTAGCAAAAATCGGTTCAGATATAGATATAGCTCCCATATATATCTTCATCCGATTTCGTGTTAATTGTGCATCAAATGGCCAATATCAGCCCAAATGGCATGAATTTTCGTACATAAGACCGAATTCAGTCTAGAAGCTAATACGTCAAATTTGGAGAAACCCGGTTCAGAGATAGCTATAATTCGTAAAATGCACGATAGAATTAGATAGATTTTGATTTTGTACCAAATATCTCATAGAGCTCTGAAATGCCCTGTATAAACCTTTTTACGAGAGCTCTACTAAATATGCATAGTGGTGTAGGGTATCATATAGTCGGCCCCGCCCGACTTTTGAGCTTTCCTTAATGGTTGTTACTGGAGCTCTACTAAATATGCATAGTGATGTTGGATATGACGTAGTCGGCCCGCCCGACTTTTTACCTTCCTTGAGCCTTTGTAGGGGAGATACCAAAAAGAGTGGACCGATACTTTCGATTTTTACTCGTGCTCTAACATCGACGAATTTATGGAACTATGCTCAGTTTGATGCAAATCGAACCTCTATTTCAAATATTACGAGGGTTATTTTTATTCAAAAATTTTACCTCTTGTGGTACAAAAAGGACTGATCCAAGACTCAGGTCATTTTTCTTTTCCTTAACATTTACAATGATTTAATTCATGTGCGTAAAATTTAAATTTTAAAAAAAGGACTTGTTTCAAAAAAAAAAAAAAAAAAATGAAAGACAAGTAATTGCAAATAAACATATCTGCAACATATGTATTTGTATCGCTTTTACCGAAAGGATACACAGCAACAATTGATATAACCGTCAAGCAAATATGGGTAAGGGAGAAATGATTAAATGCCAGAAAAGCTGATGTTGGTTTTTCACAAGGAAATCGCCAACATCCTCTGTGTGCTGCAGTTTTTTACGATTCCTTTCTCTTTCATTTTTTTATTATTATTTTTTTACAATAATGGCAAACCACGACGACAGTAAAGAATTTAAAACTCGATCTCCTCCCAAGACCACCTTATATCTTTTTGCATGTATCACATGTTATGTATGATATGTGTGTTCGTGTTGTTTATTAATGTTTTATTTTGCAATGCATATTTTAGGGCTTAGCACAATCTGGCGCCTGGGCATGTTTCGATGAATTCAATCGGATCGAATTGGAGGTATTGTCAGTTGTTGCTCAACAGATATTAACGATACAACGAGCCATTGGCAGGAAAGTGGTGCGTTTCTTTTTTGAGGATACAATGCTGCGTTTGGATCCGACTTGTTCGATATTCATTACAATGAATCCGGGGTAAGTTTAACGCACAAACAAAAACACCAAATGGATGCTTCAGGATATTGGCGTACAAATAGTGAAGCAACAATACCAATGATATAAAAAAATGAAAAAAAAAAACAACGTTTGTAGACAACCTTTTGTTAAAGCTTGCCATCGTCTTTATGCAAGGAAGATAAAAATGTTACTGAAGAAAAATCTGTTGTTGTTTTGTGTATTGTGTTTTTTTATTACTGGTCTTACTGTCATTTAGTTTATTCTCAAGCAATTTATTTCCGCCTAATGCATGGGATTATAATCGTGAAAACGTAACGTTAGTTTATCACTGTATTTGTATCACATACTATTGCCTTCTACCTTGTCTATTACCCTAGCAACTGCAAAGTTCCCTATTTATAGGTCAAAAGTTGTGATCTTTAGAGCGATTGTAAAATTAAAAAAAAAACAATATTTTTGTTTCATTTTTCTTCAAATTAACATCGAAATATATCTCTTGGAGATACGACGTTCGGAATACTGTTTGGAGGTGTTACATACACATAGTGATGCAGCCGAATTTATACCGTATCATCGCCTCGAATGGAGAAGGTCTCCACTTTCGCATTCTGTTTAATTCGAACTTTTATATATAAAATTAGCTGAACCCGGTGCGCTCCGCTATCACTTTTGTTTTCATATACATTCAAAATGTCCAGATTTCATTGGAATTGGAGAAATATAACGTGTTCGGTGCATCTGCATATATCCAAATCTAAACCGATTTCAATAGAATATGACAAATTTATTTTTGTTCCAAACTCCGTTAAACATTCCAAATATCATTAAAATTTGAGATCCATAGCATGTTTGGTGCATCAAATACATAATATTGACCGAAAATGTGTATGAGAGCTATATCCAAATCTGAATCGATTTCAATATAATTTGGCAAATTCATTTTATGGCGAAATTCTATCACACCTTCCAAATTTTATTGAAATTGGGGGTGAGATGAAAAGACTGCAACCAACTTCAGACTACTGTCATTCCCAAGCCACTCGTCCGAAAGCTGTTAAAATTATTCCATTGACAGCTCATTATATTGTTTACAAGCGTACAAAAGCATTTTGGTGAGAATTTTTCGGATTGTGTGAGTGTGTTCTTTCTTTATATTTGACTGGAAAACCACAAGTGCCTATCGTTTGAGCTCTCCAGCATTTTAATGTGAATAAATCTTTTGTGTCTCTTACCATCGCTCGTTACCGTGATACTGGTAGCATAGCCCGACATCAAGGAACTGGACGGAAGAAAACAACAACATCAGCAGAAATGGGTCAAAAAGTAAAAAAGCGACTTGATCGAAAAATGGCTCGTGAGCTGAATATATCAAAATATTCCATTCTGCAAATATTGAAAAATGAAGAACTTACGCCGCAACAGAAAGAAAATAGACTCAAAAGAGCTAAAGAGTTGCTTCGCTTGGCTGAAAGTGGAGAACTACCGAATTTGGTTTTGTCCGATGAGAAAACATTCGTTGTCCAGCAGTTTGTAAACAAACAAAATGATCATTTTTACTTGCCAAAGAGGTCACCTTCGGTTGGCCACCAGAACTCAAGGTCCGACCATGGTGATGGTGCGGCCGCCATAACATCCGATTGTCGCCCTCCGCTCGTATTAATCGACCGTGGCATCAGAATAAATGCCGAATATTATCGCAAAAATATTCTGGAGGGTGTATTAAAGCCTTGGGCACGCAAACATTTTGGCCGTAAAGCCTGGACATTCCAACAGGACTCAACACCATCACACTCAGCGCGCGCCACCCAAGTATGGTTACAAAATGCGGTTCCTCTCTTCATATCCCGCCACCAAAATCTCCGGATAGCAATCCGTTGGAATATTGTGTCTGGAGTATTTTGAAAAGCAAGGTTGACACTAAAAAATACTAAAGTGTCGATCACCTCAAGCAAGTGCGTCGCCGGGAATGGGTCAACATTCGGGCATCGTGTGACGGTTTCATTAGACGTTGGAAGGTGACTGCAATCTAAACTTATTCTAAAATTTGATGCTATTTCCGACATTTTTTGCTTTCACTCAATAAAATTTAAAAAAATAATGTATAAATCATGGCGTTTGACTTTGTTGCAGTTTTTATCACACCCTATATTGCGTGTTTGGAGCATCAAATACATGAAATCGACCGAAAGAATATATGGAAGCTATATCCAAATTTGAACCAATTTCAATATAATTTGACAGATTTATTTATGTTTCAAATTCCGTTACACATTCCAAATTTAGAGGCTATATCTGTAAAAATCAATAGATATGTACATATAAAATCAAAAATTTTTTTTGGAGGTGCCTTCGATTCTAATGCTATATATCCATTTCCAGATGGAATTTCAAAAATTTATATAGCCCACTTGACAATTTTCAAGAAAATCTGTTCAGCGGTTTTCGAGTCCATAAATTACGAAGAAACAATCAAATGTACAAACATTTCCCTCTTTTATAGATATAACATATCGACTGATGTAGCCTTTAAATATTGATGATGTACCAAATACTCCAGAAAATTATAAGTCCGAATTACTAGAGCTAGTTTCACTCTATACTCGAACTCGAGCTGCAGTACTTCTGCTAGTAGAAAAAAAATTAGTATATTACATTTTTCTTTGGCATTCGAATAAGAGAGAGTACGCCGTGCTCGATTTCGATTGGTATGAGCCACAATGTACCTATCAATTATTTTATGATCATACAAAAAGGGGTTTGATAATATCCGCATCAACACCGTCGATTTTCGCATTGCCTCTTATTTAGCTATACTTGTAGCGGCACACTGTTCGTTTCATCACTGAGTCTTCTTTCATTACATCTTCTTATTTCATTCGTTTTGAAATTCCATGCAACTGCAACGGGTCCATGTTTTAAGTGTTGGATGTCTAAATGTTGATACAGCAGTTTGTTTTGTTGTATCCAAGTTTTTCCGCTTGTTGGCAATGTTTTTCTTTGTGTTGTTAGCGGTTAACAAACAATGTTTTCGTTTCTTCCTTGACTTTTTTTCATAGCATCGCAATTCCAATTTTATGTTTCTTCCTCTTGTTTTGCCATCGTCAGCCTTTTCGAAGTAAAAGAAAAAATGAATGAATGGAAGGGAAGAAATCTAGTCTTTGAATTGATATGCCTTGTTATTTTCCTAATCCCCCTCCATCTCTACAGCTCTTTTCATGATGCGAAATGTATAACACCAATAGGTTGGTGCAGTCTTTTTTATCCATTTTAGTTGGATTAATGTACATACAAACATACCTACATAGCTATATTTGTGTAATAACTGCTCAAGAGATATCTTAAATTATAAATTCTGGAGTTTTACTTTAAACGTTTAATCAGAACAGTGTTGCGATTCTGTGAGTTTTTTAATAAATTGCATGTATTTGTGGCGAACAAAAAAAAAAAAAAAAAAAAAAAAAAAAAAAAAAAACATCTATTATCTAATTTAGAAGGACACATATTGGTATAAATTGAATTTAATTTAATCTCTAGGAAATTCCTAAAATCTGCTTCCTATAACATGTTATACAGGCTTGTAAATATTCGATTTGCATTCTTGATTGTCGAAAGACACTGAATTGAATTAGTTAGTGAATTGGTAGTGTTCCAAAAATCGCCACTTAAAGGTTTCCCTCCAATACACAGTATGGAGGGTATATTAAGTTCGCCATTCCGTTTGTAACTCATCGAAATAATAATTTCAGACCTAACAAAGTACATATATTCTTGATCCACGTCAAATTCTAAGACGAAAGATGGGAAACTAAAATGTTGTAGAGAACAGACTTTTGTCTGCAGGCAGGCCATGTTCGAAGATGGGCTATATCGGTATAAGATATCGTATAGTCCCCATACAACGGTAACCCCCAATATTCGGTATTTCGTATTTGAAGTTCAACGTATAACGAAAAATTTTCTATGCAGACCCAATATAACGCTGCCTCCTGATATTCGATATTTTGATGATTTTAGCGACATTCTAATCGGAATTATTTCAAAGTTCCTAATAGATACGAATGACTAAAAATTGCATAGGCTGATCCTCGTCTCCGTATAGCCCCCATAAGACGGTTTTCCTATAAAGGGTATTTTTCGACGATTTTGTTTTTTTACATTTTGCAAGTTCCTTCCAAATAGTGAAGGGTATTAAAAGTTCAGTCCGGGCGAGTTTTTTATTTCTAATAATAATCTTGATTTACAATATTTTTATACTCTGAAATTGGAGATAAATGGTCAAAATTTAGACATACCTCCCATGTATAACTTGGTTTGATTTGTCCATTATTGTGCACCAAACGTGTAATATAGGCCCCTATACCGGCAGCTTTAACTTTTTTGGATATTTTTGTCACAATTTGTAAACTGGGAGTAGGTATGAAACATCTTTGCAGATAACTGTTCATAGAGGTCCTAGTTATGGTATGGACCCCATATAACTATACTAAATGGAGGTACAATATTTCGATGATTTATGTAACAGTTTTCACTGGAATTGTTTAAAAGATTGAATTAGATATCATAATGAGAAACATTTGGAATTTGAATTTCGTAATGGGTACTACTTCCTGTGAAAAAAGAAGTATAGCCCCCATATAAGGTAATGTAATTTTATGATATTAGCCACATTTTTCAATGGAATTATGTAAAACTTAGTATTTGGAGTTCGTAATAGGTACCACCTTCTTTGGCTGATAATTGGCTGCATAGGTCTACGGTTAAGTGTGGGCCCCATATAACTGTACCTCCAGATTTTTGGTATTTTGATGGTTTGTGTCACCAATCACAGGAATAGTTTCAAATTTGATAATTGGGGTTTGTAATGGGTGCTATCTCCTATGACAGAAAATTTGGACATCTTCGCATTTGGACATCTTCGATAATGTTGTTAAACTTTTCAAGAAACCATAAAGTGGGTAAGGCCATGGGGGCGCCTATATAGACAAATAACAAAATAAATAAATATTGGTGGGTACCGT